AACTGTAACTTGGTCTGGGATACCTCTGCAAAACTTTACAATATGCCACAGTATATTTGTAAATCTGAAAAATTTCCCCAGAGATCGGTGGAAAGAGTGAATTTTTACTCATTTCTCAAAATTAAGACAAAAAAGGAGATGTTTAAAATCTCATTTAATGTGTGGAAGAGTGCATTACCAAACTAGAAAAGAGCATCATTAAACCAAACATTTTGCTGCCATCAGTGCTGCTCCGGCAAGTTAGCCTAACAGTGAGTTAGCGGCCAGACAATGCTGGAGTAGCCAGCCAGCATAGAACCCCACCTCCTCATACCAAGAGGTATTTCTCATACTGATGACTATCTCTTTCTATTGGCAAAGATTTCTGTGGAGATCATACAAGCAGTGTGAGTTCAAATAAACCCTTTTGTCAGCACTGGGTGCACTTCAGCTGAATTCACTGATTGAAGGCTGTTTGAATCAGCAGCTGATACAGCTGAGAAATGCAGCCTGCATTCTTACAGTTTTCAAGGATGCTACTGGTGTGACAAGGCAAGTCAGTTGGTGTTTATCATTCCTCAACATATATTGTATACATTGGAACGAAATGTTTCCACTGTGCAACATACAACAGCAGCACATTACACAGGCCTACATAAAGTGCACATACACAACAGTGTGAAACAAGTGCAGAATATACAATAAATACACTTGATGCAACTAGACAGGAGAGCAAAACTATATGTATTATATGGCCAAAGGTATGTGGACACCTGATCATAACACCTATATAAGCTTGTTGGAGATCCTTTTCCAAAAACATGGGCATTAATATAGAGTTGGCCACTCTCTTCTGTGTCTGTGGGACTTTGTGCATATTCACTCAAAAGAGCATTTGTGACATAAGACACTGATGTTGTACGAGAAGACAGTTGTCGTTCCCATTCATACCATGGTGTTCATTATGACTGAGATCAGGGTTCTGTGCAGGCCGGTGGAGGCCCTCTGCACCAAACCTGTCAAACCATGTCTTTATGGACCTCATTTTGTGCACAGTGGCACAGTCATACTGGAACAGAAAAGGGCCTTCCCAAACTGCCACCACAAATTTGTATGCTGTAGTGTTAACATTATCTTTAACTAACTAAGGGGCCGAGTCCAAACACTGAAAAACAGCCCCAGACCATTATCCCTCCACCACCAAACTTTACTGTTGGCACTATGCATTCTGGTAGGTAGCATTTACCTGGCATCCACCTAACCCAGATTCATCTATCAGATTGTCAGATAGTGGAACATGATTCATCAATCAAGACAAAATGTTTCCACTACTCTAGAGTCCAGTCGCAGGGTGCCTTACATATCTCCAGCCGATGCTTGGCATTGTGCATAGCGATCTTAGACTTGTGTGCAGCTGCTAAGCCATGGAAATCCATTTCATGAAGCACCTGATGCACAGTTATTGTGCTGATGTTGCTTCCAGAGACAGTTTGGAACTCTCTAGTGAGTGATGTAACAGAAGATAAGCAAGTTTTATGCGCTATACTCTTCAGCACTCTGTGGCCCTGCTCTATGTTTGCATGGTCTTGCACTTCATGGCTGAGCTGTTGTTGCTCCTAGACACTTCCATTTTACAATAATTGCACTTACAGCTGACGAAGCAGATGTAGCAGGACAGAAATTTACTGATTTACTGGTGAATTTACTGATTTGTGGTGAAGGTTGCATCCAATGACAGTGACAAAAGTCACTAAGCACCTCAGTATGACCCATTATACCACTGTGCAATTTGTAATACACATTGTAATACCCATTGTTTAAAAAGGCCAGTAAAATGTATAGTAAAATATACAGTATGCATTATCAGCAACATACTAAAGGTACTAAACTGTCACTAGGGTGGTACCCTCAAGGGTACGACTTCAGTACCCTTAGTTAGGGATAATAAATGTACCATAATTCATTAAAATTATATTTTTAAAGGTTTATTGACTCCACAGATCCTGTCTTGACTCCAGGTTTTTTATTTTACTGTTCTGTTTTAAAACATAACTTACGGCATGGTACAAATACATATCTTTCCCCTGAGAAAACGTATTTAAGGTACACAGTTGGACATTAAAACCACTGTTGTACCTTTGGGGGCACATTTACATCGTTTATTCCTTGATGAATGAAAATTGTACCTGCACAGTGCCTTTCTTCTGACAGCGTGCCATTTCTTTTGTTGAACAGGGTGTTAATTAAGTGCAGGGTGGGAAATGCATATGCCTTCAGTGACTCAAACCATTTTAACTTGCAGGATAGCATTTGACTACAGGTAAATTAATGTTTTTTTGCCAGCTACCCTACTATCATTCTCATCACCAGTATTTTCTTGATCAAACCTAATGCAGTGACTCCTCTTGACATGACAAAAGCTGCCTTGGTAGACCGTTACCGTTTATGCAATACACACAAGGAGCATACCTCACAAAATGACTATGTGGAATCAAGTCTATAGCTTCAGAGTTGACTCAGAAGCTATAGACTTGATTCCACACAGTCATTTTGTAAGGTATTCTGTTGTCACTGTCTAGACAGCCTGTCTGAAACATGCATGTTTCTATTAGACACACATGACAGACTGGCTGTATTTTACTTTGGTCAAAGTGGAAAAAAATCATTTGTACAATTTGTAACAAAAGGTGTCAGAATCAGAGCTGACTCTGAAACAAAAATTCTGAAATTGAACAGTCCTAGATACAGAGCCCTGCTGGTAACAGCCCATAAAATAAAAGTAACACGTGGCTCAGTAAAGCATGGGAACGAGATCCTAATGCGTGGCCACTACTTACTAAGTTGTGGGAATGAAATAATTAAGTCATGGCCACGACTTAGTAAGGCATGGGAACGAGATTAAGTTGTTGCCACGCATTAGGATCTTGTTCCCACACCTTACTAAGTCATGGCTTGTCAGTTAGGCTAAATGTGTGATACCCTGTACAGCTTCAGATAATTTTTCTGGTGCAAAATATTAGAAATTGCTGTTTTTAAACCCCTTAAAAGTTTTATTACACACGTCTATAACCTAAGAATAGCTCAGCCAGTTTGCACTGAAGTCCCTGCATTTATTGAATAATAAGCCTTAGTATGGTAGCGCTCACCACTATAAAAAGAGATACTGCTTTCGCACAAGTTATGGTGCTTTATTTTCCAGCTGTCGTTGACCACAGCCACGCCATACATAAGCGAAGCTTTTTCTCTCTAACAACTCATTCTCTACCTAGTTCACATCTTTCATTCTCTCTCCACATACATAAAACCCCTGGGACGGTTCTTAGCCCTTCTCCCTCTCCAATCAAAATCCATAGCAATCAAAATGACCTAATGTCTAAGAAAAGAAACTGCATTTTAAGCTGTTTTAAAAATGAGTATATACTAGTCGATTTCATAAATTATCACATTTACACAGTATTTTCTCTTTTGTTGGCCATGGTGCAATTTGGACAGGATTAGTTTTCCATATGGAGGTGAGATAATACAGTTTTACTCTAGAACATCTATAATGTTGTAATGACCCAATCAAACTGAAAAACTAAGGAATCTTTATTTATGTACTGTCTAGAAAACATGTCAAAACGTTTAATTTAGCTGTTATTTCATTTACCCTAACCATCTGGCTACCTAGCTGTCTTAAGTGAATGCGCTGTGTCATTAGCATGGGAATTTACAGTCAACATTGTCAAATAAAATCAAACATTTTTCTGTCAGTTTACATGTTTTAATGTTTAAAGTTGTACACTTCACCTAAGACAACATATATTTGCTTGATTTGAGCCAGAGAACATGATTAAAAGCTTTTTGGAGAGCATCCATACTTAGGAAAAACCACAAAAACTACTTTTCCACAGGATATCTTTGCATTTTTACTGACATTTCAGTTCATAAGGCATAAATATAATCTGGAGTTATTTCTACAGTTAGTTTACAGTTTGTAAAATTGACATGCATGGCAGATTCAGATGGGACTAAAACCACTGAGAAACACCAGATGCTGTGCAAACCTCACCTGTATGCCACTAACCCTCCTGATGACACTGCTGCACAGACTAAACTATTTAATCACAGCCATTGCTTCACTGGCTCTTCCCATTTTCTTTATCTTAATATTTTATACTAATTTGTTGCCGTCTGTCTCTGAGGGTCTCAGTTGTACATTGCTATTACATTGCTATTGCTATGCCATTATTTTGCAATGCTAAGTCATTATTTTGAGAAACTTTACTATTTTGAGAAACATTCTTTTTACTTTGAGATGCTTTATGCCTTTGAGATGAGAAAGTGTCTCAAATAATCAAAAAGCATCTCAAAGTAATGACAAAGTTTCTCAAAATAATGACTTATTCTCTCATTAATTTGAGATACTATCTCAAAATAATGACTCAACATCCCAAAATAATGAGATAATATCTCAAAATAATGACTTAGTATCTCAAAATAATGAGATTATGTCTCAAAATAATGACTTAGTATCTTAATGAGATAATACCTCAAAATAATGACTTAGTATCTCAATGGGAGAATATCTTAAAATAATGGCTTAGCATCTCAAAATAATGAGGTAATATCTCAAAATAATGATTTAGCATCTCAAAATAATGAGGTAATATCAAAAAATAATGATTTAGTATCTCAAAATAATGAGATAATATCTCAAAATAATGAGATGCTCTCTCAAAATACAGACTTAGTATCTCAAACTAATAAGATAGAATTTCCAAAATAATGACGTAGTATCGCAAAGTGGCATAGCAATTTACTTACGAATTTAAAAAAATAATTACGCCCTGGATATTTTCAGGTGTCATGAACGGGCTTCCATACTGCTGCTGCCACGCGCCCATCTCAGCTGCGGCTGTTCTAACCATACGCTGTATAAGGTTTGGCGCGGTTGCTCTCACTCCTAAACAGTAGGGGGCGATATTCACGTCCACGCTGCGAAGCACTCCAAATCGAAATGAGACGGAAAAATCTTTTTTGTTTTTTTCAAATCATCACAGCCACCAGCCTCTCTCTCCGGTGCTGTTTGCATCCAAATTCCTCTCCGGTGCATGAGAAAGACCCGCTGCGCTCCGACCTACCGGCCGAATAAGTAAGTGGAACTGCGCTGAAAACATTTGGGCTTTTTCGGCTGAGCGCTATCAGCGCATTTCCTGCAGAGAAAACTTGTCTTAGTTCGCCAGCTTCCATTTAGCGAGTTAGCCCGTTAGCTTCAGCCTTTCATTACCTGGAACTGAAAACGGTGTTCTGCTCTGCTCCGAGGCGGGCTGAGCCGGGAGACGGGTTTTGTTTATGTGCTGGAAACTGGTGTGTTACTCGCCCACGTTTCGTCGCATGTGTCTCTCTAATAATTAGACTCAAAACAGAAGAAGAAGAAAAAACCCAGAACAAAACAAAATGTGAACATGTTCGTGGTACCCAGTGATGCTGCACTCGCTGTTGTTTTCAGTGAAATTACAGGTCTCTCTCTCTCTTCCCCTCTCTGTCTGTCTCTCTCTCTGTCTGTCTCTCTCTCTCTCTCTATTTTTTTCAGATGTGTAATCATATCTGTTTGTCTTTTTATCCCTATATATTATGTGTATTTTTAAAGATTTTTTTAAATATGTGTATTTTTAAAGAAAAAAATCTCTGATCATTGTAAATATAATAAGCAGCCTAGTCAGCATATACATGCAAATGCAGGAGTTTTTAAAATGTAACACCATGAAAATACTAACCTATAAAAGAACTGTACTGTTTTTAAAGTATTTTCACGGCCATTCAAACAAATTGAAACAAATTGTGTTGTAAATAAAGGTATAGAAGGGTTCTAACATATCTAGTAATATTAACATGTTTCAAATAATTAGTAGGAAACTAGTAGGTAAAACATTTTTGTATTATTATTATTATTATTATTATTATTTCTAAAATGAAAAAGGGCAGTCTTAGATACGTCCAGAAAGATACATATACAAACATGAATCATGTTTTCAAAATGCGGAAAAGGCTGCATGACATAAAAAATTGATAAATGAATATCTACAAGTCGTTGTATTTAAAGTGGTGATAAAATCTCATGGGCAATACCTTGACCAAACACAAACAAAACAACAAAAGATTACAGTATATTATTAGTTATTTAATAGTTTCTTATTGTACCCAGCTTGAAATATGATTGTACACTATATGTGTATTTATTTTTTACGTGTAATTTACTGAGGGAACCCCTGCATTTGTAAGGAAATTCGCCAGATATTTTTTTCCACTCTCCCGCCGCCATTTCTCTTAGACTGTCTCTCATATTTGGCATTGCCTATGTAGTTTTATTTGAAGACATGAAGGACAGGCTTAAATTAAACATATTCAAAATATTCAACCCAAATCTCTGTCCTTGAGCTGGGTTGTGAAGCTCAGCACTGGCAGAGTAACAGAACCGCTACATGAAAGTGTTCTGTGCCTTGTTGAGCTGCTAACCGCAGACAGTTTCATTTTGAGGTCACAGTGTGGCGGCTTTCTTACCAATTAAATATATCTGATGTGGGAAAATCATCTCTTGTTGTTAGGCCAGTCTGACAGTTCCCGACATATAATTCATACTTTTGTAATTAGCAGCCAAATTATTCTCCAAGAAATGTGTTAAGCTTGCGTAGATCATGGAATTTGCATAATGTCTATGTTGCTCAAATGCTGCCTGTTTCTCCAGTTCATAACTGATATTGAAATTTTTATGTATTTCATCCTGGTTGTTGTCATATTGCTGAGTTATGCTAACAACACTTCAAAGCACTCTGAAGTGTATAAAAGCCAATATGTTGATTTATTTAGAACATAATAAATTAAACACACAGTAAAAACTTTAAATTAAAAAAATCTTGATTGAAGGAAAACACAGACAATTAAACATGAGAAAATCAACAGAGAGAGTAAGAGTAAACATTTGTAAACAACTCTGTGAGACAGAAGCAAAAAGCTATAGAATAGTTATCTTAGAGGCATCAGACAGTTCTGAGATTCAGTTCCATACAGTAGTAGAAGTGTAAACCTACTAGGAGAGACTGCGGCACAATACGTTTTTTTATTTGCTAAATAATTTTAAAAGCAAGATTAATTTTTTTCTAAGTAACATGCACCCCTCTGTTACAAAAGAAAATGTAAGCTTGTGCTTCCTGCACCTACTGTTGATGAACAATTCAGCTGAAAGAGGAGTGCAAACGTTAAAACTTTCTCCATGGGCAGGGTTAATTGTAAAAGGCTAAGTTGTAACAGTAGATAGAAAAGTCTAGATAAAAAGCACAAGTAATTTAATACAGTTCTGTGTTTTTGAACCAGACAAGCTTTCCTGCGTAAAACCTCTGAAAAAAATGAACTGTTGTGCATTTATATGGGGGACATATGGACTTCTCTCATTGTCTGTCTGGGGAAGCTTAGTTACAATATCTGTTAGATTGCTGTCAAAATTCACAGATGTTGCTAGGTGACTATTAAAAGATGGCCAAAAGCATGTTCAGCTAAGATCTGTTTAACTACATAAAAATGGTTCTTAAACTTAGATATTTAAAAGTATTAACCTTTACTGTAAATGAAAGTCTGATTTCTAAGAAAGTGCTTGTTGAAAATGAAATTTGCCCAGTTTCAACCCCAAAACAGAAATACATACTTCATCCTGATCTTGGTACTCAATTTAAATAGAACGTATTAATATTTGTGTTGCTTAATAAATTATCTTTGTTCTTTTCCTCTGTACCAGCAGCTGTATTTAGGTTTTCTTTGTTTTTCTGGTAAAACATAAAAGTTTGTGGGTCATTTAAGGATGAATTACCTGGACTAGTGGTTCCCAGACCTGGTCTTGGAGGACTTCCTGCCATGCACATTTTAGTGTTTCTCCTGCTTCCATAAAACCTAATCCAACTATTCAGCTATTTAACAAACTTCTCTAGAGAAGGGTGAAAACGTTAAAACACGTAGGGCAGTTGGAACTTGAAGTCCTGGGTTTGAAACTTTGTCTTTTTCTGGTTGAAAGAATGTTGTCCTCATTGAAAGAATGAAGCCTTAATCCATTGTCTTCTTTTTTTTTCCAGAATCTAGTGATTGGAAAGGCAAGTCTGGGTGGAGATCCCAGACCCAAGGTAAGCCTGAAATAATGATGGAGGTTGAGCAGAAGGACGGATCTGATAACAGTCTGGTCTATGGAAATAATCCTGCCAAACGTGGCAGAGGCAGGCCAAAAGGGTCAGTTAAGAAAAAGATTATCTCTGTCACAGAAGTAACACACAATGTCAGGACATCAAAAAGAGTGGATTATTTTTCACCTGAAACAGTGTTTAGACCGAAAGTGAAGAAGCGTGGTCGCCCTAAGAAGATAAGAATGCCAGGACGGCCAAGAAAGATCCCCCTTACACCAGAAGAGGAAGCAGAGAGAATGTTGAGGTTGAGCAAGCAGAGGAAACGGAGGCTTTCTAAGCCTCTTGGGAGACCCCGCATCCATCCCCTCATAAATATCCCTAAAGAGAAAAGGGGAAGAGGTCGACCACGCAAATATGAACCCATAGCAAGAGCTTCTTCGCAAAATGGTACAGTCAATGGAAACCTGAAGAAAAGTATAAAGAGGATGTCTGAGCTTAGTGAAGCCATTCCTCGAAAGAGGGGACGGCCGCAAGGTTCATTTAAGAAGAAACGGGGTCTAGCGGCAGGTTCACCAGCAAAAAGGGCCATTCAGGGGACTCCTAGAAAGAGGGGGAGACCCCCAGGTTCTGGAACCAAGATATCAGTCAGGCAGGAGTCAAACGGAGCTCCTCGGAAGAGGGGCAGACCCCCAGGCTCTGGAACGAAACAAAAGGTCATAACACAGGAAGCAGATGGAGCTCCTAGAAAGCGAGGGCGACCCTCAGGATCTGGGCTGAAGATAAAGTTTGCAGCACGGGAGACGGACGGAATTCCTCGAAAAAGGGGTCGGCCCCCAGGTTCCGGAGCAAAGATAAAACTGCCATCACAAGAAGCAAATGGAGCCCCTCGAAAAAGGGGAAGACCACCAGGTTCTGGAAAAGCCAATACTCATGCAAAGGAGACCGAAAACAGTGATCTGAGCAGCAGCAGTGCCGTCTCTGCCAGCAGCCATCCTCGTAAGAGGGGCCGTCCTAGCAAGGCAAGCCTTGCTGAAGCCTCTGCAGGCAGTAAAGGTGAAGAGCAAAGTGAGGTGAATGACGCATCCGCACCTAAACGACCCCGTAACTCATTTGCCTCATCTGAGTACTCAGGTGTGGAGGCAGAGACAGTGGCAGATGCTGCAGACCAAAAGGCCAGCGGGAATGATGCTGCAGAGGTGGCACCTGAAGGGGTGGTTGGAGGGAAGAAGCATAAAAAGAAGTAAGAAGAAGTAAATCATTGAGTGCAACAGAGCACAGAATATTTTTGAATGAGTTTTTAACAAAATGAAAACAAATTGTGTCATCCTGAAGGTTATCTTGAAGGCTAACCTTTTTATCCGTTTTATTTTCTTTGTCGCTTGAGTTCTGTGCCTTTTGCATGTGTTTTTAAAGATGGTTTGGTGTTCTGACGTTCTGTTCCATCAGCTCAATGTTAATCCAAAGTGAAAAGCAGACCTTTTCAGAAGTCCATTCTGAGACTAAACGGAACACCAGTGAACTAAAGGCAAATGATTTTCTGCCGTTACAAATAAGCTGTTTGCATGACTAGCTTGTCATCCTCTATAAGCAAGATGTGAATTTGGAATTTTTTTATTGTGCAATTTTACCAGGTAAGAAAATAAAAGAATTGAATTAAGGATAAAACTCAGTAACTCTGCTAAAATGCAGTGTCATCTATGATGTACTCTAGTGTGTACTGATTACATCCTCGCTAGCTGGTGGCTAGATTTTGTAGCAAGACTATTGTTTGGAGGGTACTGGGAGTGAAACAGAGGACATGTTTTCTGGGCCCTGTGGGAGGGGGAAAAAGTAAAAAGCCCAGATATTTTTTACAGGTTACATCACCAGACAGCAAAATGTAAATATACAGCAGTTTTGCTATTTCTCCACACCAGAATTTGTAGATCTCTTAACAACGTATTTTAAAATTCTTTGCGGATTGTTGCGTTTTACATAAAACAAGTCTAGTTAGTTATCATTGCATCTTATGTTGCTTTGGTACGCTTATGTTGTCATGTACATATCCAGTAACATCTACATAAAAACTGTAACTGCCATATTTACTCTGTTGATGAGTATTTTAATGGCTTACATGGATCAAATTTGCAATTTGAAGAGGTTTGCAAGTTTGTTTGCGTGGTTTGTTGTAGGGATTAGAATTTTGACCGATAACTGACCATTATTTGTCAGTGAATAATCGTTAACCGACAAACCTTAAATAACTACCCATGAAAACAAGAACCACAGCACTGTTTTAATTAAAAATGACTTGCATTATTGAATGAAAAATTGCACCCTAAAGTAACAGATATGACAGAAACCTAATGGAGTCTAGTACTTACCCCATATTATTAAACCAACTTAAGAAACATTTATGGCCTGACTGGAGCCAAATGCATAATGTAAACAACAATTACTGTAAAGTCAGTAGCTCATGGCTTTTAAGCTTTTTGTCATGGAATTTACTACATAGGCTAATCGTTAGCTAACAAACACATTTGCAGGCTAGCTTAAGGCTACCTTCAGCAAAAGTAACTTAACATTTAAAAAAAAAAAAACAGTTGTAGTCTAACCTGGCACTGTCGTGTGGCTGAATATCCTTGTTGTGAAACTGCTGTAAACTACTTTTAGGATGGTTTAATCTGTGCAATGTGCCAAGTTGACAGTCAGAATTGACTCCAGAAAGTTCAATGAAAAACCCACCTGTTGAAATATCAATTGTTTATTGGAACTAAAATGAACTTTTCAGTTGAAGCATTCGTTGAACATTTAAGTATTTGTCGGTTAACGGTTAATCAGTTAATCGGTTAATTGTTAAGATCCATTTTTGTTTTTGTTGTTTTTGTTTTGGCACCTTCTACCCAAAAACAAATGTTTTATTTTTTTATGTTTTTAACGTGTGAGGACATGAATATATTTTAAAGGAAAAGAAAACGATTTTAATGTACACCTTCTTCCCTTCTTTTAGACATGGACTGAATTAGAACTTCTGAAATTATTTCTGTGAATGTGTGACAATTCATGTTGTGTGTCTGTTTGAATTGATCCACACATCGTGAAAGATGACTGGTCCTTTAATTTCTATTTCTGTCATATGTGTTTTGCCTTATGATACATGTGTTCTCATAGGAGTGAGAATATGCCATGTTGTTTTAAAAAAATATACAGAAATGTTACGTGTGCTACATGTGATGTTTTTAAGCATTTTCGTGCAGGTGCTATCAGATCTTTCGTTGGTACAAAGAGAGTAATGTGAAGAAGGATGCCACCCAAACTCTAGAAAGTATTGTGCAGTATGATGTTTATGGGAAAAATAGGTGTCTTTTATGTTTTTTATACTTATAAAATACTGTCATACTTTGTCTTACGGAAATGGCCTTCCAATAAAGATGTTTGAGAAAACTGAAGTTTTGAAATTAGAAAATTGAAAGGTAGTTTTAGAGAATCAAGTGTTTGAAAATTCATAGTATCCCTTAGATTTTTATTATTTTTTTTAAACAATTGCACTTCACCTTGGTATTGTAGTTTCAGTAACACTGTACTGTAGCGTGCTGTTCACAAGGCTACATAACACCTATATAAGCTTGTCTTGACAACTGACCTAACTCTACATAACTGTTTATAAGTGCTTATTCCAAAAGGCATCATCTGTCATAAAGGCTACTTTGGCTGACTTTGATCAAAATTGGCAAATGTAACCTTTATGACATGATGCTTGTTGGAATAAACATTTCTAAGCAGTTATGTAGAGTTATGTCAGTCGTCATGACAAACGTATGTAGGTGTCATGTAGCCTAATGAACAGCACACTACAGTACAGTGTTACCGTAGTTTCTAACTTTTACTCATTTATCTGCAAGACTGATTTTATTAATCCTACCTATGTTTCTTTTTTTGGTTTCGTTAATTTCACGTTTCATGACTTTTTAATGACCATTGTAATTACCATAACATGACAAAGTCAAATGTCCGTGTGGTATTAGATTTCATTTCATAGTTGGGAGGACACTTAATTCTGCATGATTGAATTGCTCGGCCACAGTCAGAAATACAAAAAAAAAGAAAAAAATGCCTCAATGGTATGTTCCAACAATACCTATTTAAGCATTTTGACTAAACCAACAAGGCTGTTAAACTCACATGCCATTGCTATGTTTCTTTCTTACCTTTTTCTAGGCAATATACTCCCATCTGGCAGAGTCAAGCTCTTGGTATTTTTTGTACTTGACGATATTGTTTGCCTGGTAAATTAGAAAGATGCATTGATGTGCATCAGAGGAGGCATTACCCTTGTTGATTTGATGGTGCTGTTATATATTAGGGGAGATGTTAATACATTGGTGATTGGCTGCAACTAGTTTGGGAAATACAATTCACAAAGTTACAAATTTGTTGAATCGCAAATGTAGGCTAGCCTACGTGAACATCGCTTCCGCACAAAGAATGGTGGTCTTTTTAAAACTGCAGCTCGCACTTGTGGGATATGCTGTTTATTTAGTTTAAGTAAATGTTTATGATGCCTTGTTCTTTGAAACGTTTTAAGCAGTAATCGTGTACGTCCCTAGGTGAAACAATGTGTAAAAAACAACTGCTTTCTTTTGTTTCTAAAAGTACTGACTTGCCGCTATTTTTCTTCTTTTTTTTTTTTTTGCTTAGTCTACTTGAGTATGCCATAGTGCATAGACTCATGTTCTACTCTAGCATCTTTTTAGATGTTTGATTTAGGTATTAATCTGTACTTGTAACCATTAGATGCTGTTTAATGTGAGTTCTTGTATCTCTTGGGATGTTACTTTATCTTAATAAAATAATCATGTTCAATCAAGTTGTAGTGCTTTTTTTAGCCAGGTTTCGCATATTAGTTCACTCTTTAATATTCCCTTACTGTACTTACTTTTTTGGCAGACCATACAGGTACAGTAGACAGTATTCTTTATTACTATTTAATTGCTTTCATATGTAATTACATTTGAATTAAGTTTTTGTTTTTTGTATTTATTTGTTAATTTTATATTTAACATGAAGTTTGTTTAGGTATATGCAATAATGATATGCTTACAGAAAACACAGATTGCATGCTACAGCAGGTAAGAGCAGTAGTAGTAGCAGTTGATAACTCTGTGATGTATAAATAATGTATCCAACCCTAATCCAAGCAACTAAGGTTCTCATTATTTTTCCGTCTTATTGATGTTCATGCATTCTTGCTGAAATGACTAAAAGAAACGTAAACAAAATAAAATTGAATAAAAAGAATGTTTTGTGTGAGCAATAAAGAGTGAATTCAGTTTAAATTTCATAACTCAGAACAAAACCTTGTATCTCCATTTTGTCTTTTTTTTTTTTTTACATTATTTGAAAACACCATCTGTGCTTTACATTGGGTCAACCTTTACCTGACAAATGTAAAGTTCAAAATTAACTGGAAAAAAAATCTCATCTCATTACAACTCTAATCTCATTGCATTAATTACAAAAAACAAAATTTCCCTTTCCTGTAAAGTTACTGTTTTTTCATTGTTTACTCCACCAATAGTTTTCCTTATACTCATCCTCCTCGTACCTCAGCCTTCCGTTCCATTCATCTGGCCTGCTGGCAGCCCCTCTGTCCTTTTGAAGCTTACCTAAGGCCCTCTACTCTCCGACTCTTTCACTGGTACGCTTCTATGAGGTGTATCCCTATATTAAGGCTTCCATACAATAAATAAGGACAATGTAATGTTTAATGTTCTCCTGCTGCGATGACTCGTTGGGATGCTGTGGCCTGTAATCACAAACTTCTAACATGCAGTTAGATTGTAACAACCAATCCCTGCATGATGTACTATTCTGTTGTCCCTCAATTGACACATTACCCAACATGTCCCCGTATATAACATCAAGTCTAAGGGTAACACGATTGTTCCAAGATCGTTGCTTTACAACATCTGCTGTAAGTGCTATATAATGAATTAAATTGACTTTACCTGCCATATTTGCCTCTTTAGTCTCACAACGCTTAACAGCAACACACCGTTACTCCTTTAAGTGCAGCAAGACGGGCTTGACCCCTGTACCTCTTCAGACTAAAGTCATCCACCAACTCCACTTGAATCCTTACTGTCTCACTTCCAGCTCTGATAATCAAATGCCCTACCATTTGAAACTAGTTCTGTTGCTTCCCGCCACTAATTTAGACTCTTTGTACCATGTTTTCTCCCTACGTGGTTACAGTTATTGTAACATTCTGTTAGGATCAATGAACGCCTTCTGTAGCCCAGAGACTTCTGAATCACCAACTCGTTGAATGCTAGTCTTCAGGTGTATCATACCTGACCAGACACAGTTCCTTGTTTAACTTGAAGTTCTTTGGACTTGCATGGTGTCAGAAAAGGGTCAAAAAGATTTTGAGCTTGTAAAACAATATTCACAAATGTACTGAAATTAGCAGTTGTGTTTGAGCAACATCTTACACATAAAACCCAGATTCACAAATACGTAAAAATAAAATACGTAAAATTTAAAATATATAGAAAGAATTTTTGAATGTGTTAGTACTACTTACATGATTTACATTGTGCCAGACCATAAAATCACATGAAAATTTTGAAGTTCCAAGTGTGACAGCGGGAGTTTTTCAGTGTGGTATTATAAATCTGCGAACACGTCTTCATTACTTCACTTCTTTTTGCAACTGCTGATTTTTGACCCTGTTTTGCCGGCAAATTGATGGACCAATAGGAAAGTTTTGTATCTGTATATAATAGTTATTATATGTCTATGACCTACATATTGTGGCGTCACTCAGAGAAAAAATCAGGAAAAGCCTGTTCTGCTTAGAAAAGAGCTTTTTTTATTAAGACGGGCAGAAAATTAGGGCACATCTCTCCTAGCCCTATACTTTCTCCCAGTGGTAAGCTCCAACCCAATTTAACTAAACCCATACCCCCAACACAAAACCACACGTAAAACACTTAGGAACAACAACAATAACTGTCACTTAAAAGGGGAGGACACACTTCCCATTAGCCTCTCCTTATGGCCCTTTTACATGCCTACTCTTCAACCTCAATGGGCTCACAAAAGACCAGCTCTGTGGGCATCATGAGGTCATGGCTGAACATGGGGAGGGCCTGAGTGAACCCAGTGGACTTCTGCACAGTAGAATGGCAAGCCAGTAGGACCGGGGCAAATGTCAGCCCCAATCACACTTGTGCTGGTCAGATAAAGGGCAGCTGAGTAGTGAGCATTTGGTTGAAACGCTCCGCAACACCTTCACCCTGCGGGTGGAGCGGCATGGTCCAGGTCTTTTGGATGCCCAGCCGGTTGCAAACCTCAACCATAACTGCCAACTCAAAGTTGTCCCCCTGGTCACTGTGAAACTCCTCTGGCATGCCAAATTGTCATATAAACTCCTCTACCAGCTGCTCCGCTGTCATGGCCACACTCTGATCCAGGACCACATATGCTTTGGGCCACTTAGTGAAATAATCCACGGCCACAAGCACATAGTGGTCCAGCCTTGGTGGTGGAAAAAGGGGTGTCCACAGCTGCTCTCTCCATAGCAGAGGGATTGCAACGGGGCATGCGATGGCTGCAGCAGCCCTTTCTTGGGGGTATTTGAGTCACAGCAGTGCACAGAGCTCCATGTCCAAGTAGTTGGCTGGCTAGTAGAATCTCTGCCGCAGCCACTTCAGAGTGTTGCCCACCCTGAAGTGCCCCATGCACTGCACCCAGCACTGTTTTGCACAGGCTGCATGACACCAGCAACTGCCAGACTTACTTACCAGGCAGTGTCTCTCTGCATGGCATGACAACCCTTTGCATAACCTGAAGCTGGCCCAACCCGCCTCTCAGTGCCTTGGCAGTGGGTCCCTATGGTGTTATATCTGTCCATTCCAGTGTTGGCCCCACCTGGAACCAACTGCGCACTCAGAAATTTTCAACATCTTCCTCCTCAAGGCTTACTATGTCAAGTTCAGTGCAGCTAGTAGCCACGACGGCAGTGCTTCTTTCAGTTGCTTTGGCTTTCTCATTAAGATACACACAGTACCAGCAGTCCTCAGCAGCTAGTGGCAGTGGGACAGGGCATTGGCATGCGGATTTAATAGCCTTGAATATCAGCTCTCAATTTGCAAGCACCCCATCCCAATCTGGTGCGTGGACCAGCACGGCGTTAAGAAAGATGATGCACCGGCCCCTGGGGACACTGGTGAGCACTTGCTCTATCAGCCGCTGAAATGTAGCTGGTGCATTTTGGAGGCCGAAGGCCTTTACCGTGAAATGCCACAGACCGGCACCCAGCATGAATGCCGTCTTTTCTCTGGCATCAGGAGCAAGTGCCAATACCCACTCCGCAGGTCCAGCAAACGGAAACATGCAGAGCTTGTTGCATGCTGGTCCAAGGTATCATCAATGCACGAGAGCAGATACAAGTCAGGCTTAGTTACAGCATTAAGCCACGCAAAACCACCAAGCTCCATCCTTTTGTTAGGACCACCTGTGCCACCCATGGGCTGTTTGATGGTTGAGTAACTCATGCCCCTGCCATTTCTTTTATTTTCTGTTTAGTGACTTCTCTCTTTACCAACAAGAGCGAGGGTGGAGCCAAAATGGAGCAGCTTTGCCGCAGTTAACGCTATGCTGCACCAAATCAGTCCACATGCAGTTGCTGCAAAGATGTCACTATAATGACTCAAAAGCACCCACAACTGCTGTTTCTGCCTTTAAGCTAAGCCTGACCCACTCCGCTGCCATAGCTCACACGCAGCTTCAGCCCTATCGCAAACCTCCACTGTACTGACCACAGCTCCTGTATTGCCAGAGGCCTCACCTGCGAAAAGCGGTGGTTCACTCAACCTAACAGTGCTCCCCGCCCCAAGAGTTACAGCCAAAGGCTCTAGCACTGTATGTTCAGCTCCTCTAGTGCCATAGGCCTTCCTGACAGAAGGCAGAAGCCTCACTGCCTCGGAGCCTTGACCGTCCACCTTGACCCCGCCACTAAATTCTGTGCACTGCATCTCCTTGCCACCTCTCCAAACTCAGCATAGCACTGGCAACATTGATCATGGTTCCCATTGCTGCCAGGAAGGCTAAACCAAGTGTAAACGCGTCACGTATGGGTGCAAGCCAGAATTTGTGCACTCAGTTCAGACCTCACAGCATGATCAGGAGCTGCTTCCTCACTCTCGTGTCGACTCGGCCACTGGTAACAGAGCTGAGCAGGATAGTGGTATCCTCCCAGCCGTCCAGCATACCTCTCGCAGTGTGGGGAAGCGCGCCCAACCGCGACAGGGAGATGGTCAAGCTTGTGTCAAAGAGTGTGGTGAGCCGTTCGCTGTCGATGCTGCACTCTATTCAAAGCCTGTGGTTTATTTCCACTGGCTCATGGCATTGGTGAGTGAGATGTCCCTTTTCCCGGACCACTAACACACTATCCATGCTGCTGACGCTCGCGAGGGCCATGTTACTTACCACACCCCCCTGGACTCCTCTGCTGCATAACACTGTGTTACTCACTTCGAAGCCATGATGTGAAGGATAGGTTCTGCTGTTTCAGCTTCCACAGTGGCAGCTTGTAGGCTTGTTGGTTTAGTGGGCCGCACATGTCACCTCAGTACTTCCAGCAACAGCATGTTCAGGAACGCGTTCACCAACTCCTTCTCAACTTGCTTCCCAAACATGGGGTAAACCTGCCAGACCACGGTGGTCACGCTCACTCGCTACCCCCTTCCACCTTCGCCTGTCTGGGAGCAGTTTCTTGATGGACAGCACTGCTGGTGCTTCCCCAAAGCACCACTGTCAATGCTGCAAAGTCACCATGCTGCTCCGCAAGTCCGTGAGCACCTCAAGAGTGCCTTTCCCTCCAGGGCCAACCAGAGCTGGATCGTGGTCTCTGCCTCTATCCAGCCGCAAAGTTGAGCAACCATCTGCAGCTGCATTGAGTACAGCTCCCTTCCTCATTGTAGCGTGGCAGTAGCATGCATGCTGGCTCTGCTCTGCCATGCCTCAGCAGGTTGCCGCTGGCAACTGCTGCTCCGCCATCTCTTGCATCAATTGCTCTTTCACTTTTGTTCTCGCCGACCATCTCGTTGCTTCTCCGCCGGCCATCACGCTGCTTTTTCTGCCGGCCATCACACTGTTTTTTCTGCTAGCCATTGCGCTGCCGCCTTCCTCGCTGTTGGCTTCTCTTTCGCCACCTTGTCTTTGTATTTCAGTGGCAAGATCCCACTTCTGAGCAGTGTGGCTTCACTCAGAGGAAGAATCAGGAGAAGCCATGTTCTGCTTGGAAAAGGGCTGTTTTATTAAAACAAGAAGAAAATGAGGCACTCCTGAATTAACTGGTGTGAAGGCAGGTCACTCCTAGCCCTTTACTTTCTCTAAATGGTAAGTTCCATTCCAGTTTAACTAAACCTATACCCCTAACACAAAATCACACATAAAACACAAACACTTCTGGAACCCAGGAACAGCAACAATAACCGTCACTTAAAGGGGGGGCACGCCTCCCATGAGCCTTTTCTTAGCGCACTTCAGTCAGTGGCAGAATGCCACAATATGTATAAATATTCATATTTGCATATGTACAGACATTCATACAAATTTTTAGCTCCTTTCACATTGACCCGTTTTTATTTTACTTATTATATTTTTATTTTATTTGTCCTTTCGAGAAATATTTGCTACTAGTGTGCTTGTCTGGTCTATTCAGTATGTCACGTAATACTTGTGTGCACTAATCAAGATAAATTCCTTGCATGTATAACATACTTGGTGAAATAAAGGGATTCTGATTCTAGGGATATGTGTAACAGAAAGGCACAGAGGTGTAACAAACTTAACCGACCAGCTGGTCAGATAGGATTGGTTTCAACAATTGGTAGCACATGATAATACAGTGGATTAAGTGCAAGGTAAGAGAGTATTTATGGGGCTTATATCATGGAAAACGTTTTTATAAAAAAAAAAAGTGTGTAAACATTGTTACAGTACCATTCACTCCCCAGTCCAGACAATGATATATGGAAACAAAATTCACTGGTTGTATGATGTCAAAAAAAAAAAATGGGCCTCATTCACCAATAAATGTTTTTTTTTATTTGTTCTTCAGGATGGTCCTTAAGTCTATGAAATTTCTTTTTAAGAACAGCTGGATAACGAGGCCCAGTGTATTGACACACATCCAAATATTTACCCTACATCAGTAGCCCATTCACAATGAAGTTTTAAGCAGTGTTTTAGTCTGGACTGTGTTTGAATGAGGCACAACGAGCCCTTTAATAAGCCTCACCTATTAGATTATTTGCTATGCTTAACTGTAAGATTTGTTAGTGTTCACATTTTTAGAATGCTGCTTCATGATTTTCGGTGGGATACATTCAGTAATGCATTACAAATTTATACCGGGTCATATAAATATTTTGAACATTATGTTTACACATTACACATTTATGTTTACACATTTTCATTTAGTTTTGTTTGTCACCCAGTAGAAAACTTACATGAAAAACAGGAAAACCTTCAGAATGTAAAAATAAGTAGAATATTATACTGCAATTCCCATATCAAGCCTTCAGAAGCTGTAAACAGAATTTGTTTGGGGAAAAAAAAGACAGCTACAAATCACATTTTCATCACTTTATTAGAATCAGCACACAATGGGCAAATGACATGCTGTTAAACACCAAACGTACCTCAGAAAATACCTGACTCTTCACCACTAAATGTTTTGGTATTAGGTAAAATTACATTCACTGGCCTGAATAGGATTTGCCACCTGAATAAATGGTTTGGATCTTGAATCAAATTCTCAGGGCAGCATAGTGCAGTTCTACTTGTCTTGACTACTTGCTGATCAAAATTCTTTAAATGCTGGAGACATATTAACAGTCTCTTAGCTCTGCCTTTTCCATTCGCTAGGTTTTATCAAAACCTATGCCAAAAACTTGGGGTAGTGTAAAAGAGATCTCCTTCTCAGCTGGGGCTGAATGTTTGTATTGTATCATAATTTTAAAGATCTTAAGGAATACCTGCTGGTTTATTTAAACTGTCCACACTACTACACCCAACTTGTGTCTATCGACCCCACAGGATGGTTTGGTGGAGAGAGTCAATATATGCTGTTATCACTGCTCTAATCGAGTGACTGAAACAGGGTTAAAACCTTTAATTTTACAACTTAATGAACGTGTTCAGGTATCTCAACACATTTTAATTATACAAGCTTTTTGGCATCTACGAGGCCTTTGCAATATTACAAGCTTACCTCAAAGATTCATTAGCTATAATATAATGAACCACTCTTCTTAAAATGAGCCATCAAATACATAACAAGAATGTAAACTTCTACAATTCAAAACTACAATTCGTACGTTTTCACAAGACAAACAAGAATATGAGAATCCACATTCTTCCGATATTTTAGCTACTCTTGTTACATTGAGATTCTACCTCATTCATTGCTAATAAATGTATAAAGTTACATTCAGCCCATTTGTCTTTCAGTACTTGGTTTGCATAGCTCACTAATCTCATGGCCATCATTCATAAAGTAACCCAGAGTAGGTGTGTTGAATTTGGAACATATCTTTCCCATCTACAACCACTACGTACTGAGAAGCCAGCCAGAGAGTCAGAAACAGTCATTTTTGGGAATAATATCACCTCCTCAATGTAAAAACAATCATGATATTCAACAAAAAATTGAGGAAAGGCATCCTGCAAGAGACAAAACATAGGACTGGACCACATAGATGTGTAACTATGTGGAACTGTGATGAGTAAAAGCAAGTTTAGTTCATGGTAACATATAACGTAGTGCGTGTATCGTTCTTTATTTTATTACTAGTCTATTTTGATTGCATCAATGAGACTGAATTAAAAACCGCCACTGATTAGTATCACATCTACATATAACATTTACATTTATGGCATTTGGCAGACGCTCTTATCCAGAGCAACGTACAATTTGATCATTTTACACAGGTAGGTGAAGGTAATATTAGGAGTCTTGCCCAAGGACTCATCTTGGTACAGTGTAGGGTGCTTGCCCAGGCGGGGGATTGAGCCCCAGTCTACAGCACAGAAGGCAGAGGTGTTTCCCAATATACTATACCAACTGCCATAAGCTTTATATCATCACACATTACACTCTACCTATCCATATATATCTCTTGGATCATCTTTTCCCATTTAAAATGTAATCATTTATTTATTTATTTGATGTGTAAATTTATTTGGAAATTTGTAACATTATCCAATGAGGATGACTGAGACAGACCTGAATCACTCACTTTAATTTCCTGAAACACAGACGACTCATTAACAAAGCTAAAACAGCAGGGGGGGGGAAGCCCATTAAGACAAACATCAGGTAGGAGAAAGTGCACGGTTGCGAAAGCACTCCGAGAGGTATGAAGGAACACGGTCGCATCGAAAGGAGGAAGTGCGGAAGAGGCACTGCGCTGACAGCTACACACCTGCTGCGGTTCAGATGAAAGGCATCAGTTGGGAGAAGGACTGAGGCTGAGGTGGGGAAAAGGCATGGTGGAAATCACACAAAGCGTCTGCTCCCTTAGGCAGAATATCTCACGTCCTTGTATACAGAGAGGCCAAATCAGTAGTAGAAATACACTGGGGGGAAAACAGATGATAGAAAAAGATGATGAGAGAAAACACAGACAAAAAGTAAATAATTATTGGAGCACAATAACTGCATTTGAGTAGTTGGAAAAAGGTGGAATTAATATATATTTACAACTGTGCTTAATATATTGTTTCCTTTTTGTTTCATTTTGACAAAACCTCCAAAATGGTCATTTTACAGAAAAGGAAAAAAGGTTTGGTATTGTTTTTTTCATTTACTGCCCCTTAAGTTCTAGGTATTAACCATGGTACAATCTCCGAAGTTCATTCTTTCAAACAATTCTGTAAAAAGGGCTATATACAGTATTTAAAAGTGGTTTCTTGACAACGGTGGAACCCTTTCTGGTGCTATACAGATCCAATTTTAAAAGGGTTTTTCGAAGAACCATATGCAGCTGGCTTTCCATTATAGAGAGGAATGAATCTAAGCTGTACAAATGAATCTAGGCTGTAAAAGAAAGCAATGATTCATACTAAAACTAAAATCTTTTTTTCTGAGTCATTTCATTATAAATTATAACTTAACATATAATTTACCCTGTACATGGAAGTGTTTGTCATTCACTTTCCTGCTTAATCATGTGGCATTACATTGAAACTTAAGAGCGACTCTGTTTGTACTTGCTACCTTCCAGCCAAATATTGATGAACCTGTTAGTCATTTTTGCGTAACTTATTATTATATTACTGTCTTATTATAATTTAACTCACAATAATTACATAGCACTTTGGAGATGGTACCTCACCTAAAACTATATATATATATATATATACACACACACTCACACACACAAACCTTTCACTTAAAAAAACACTAATTTCATCAAGCTTTTTTGGACAGATATGTCACATTAACATTTAAAATGTACAGATGCGCTATGACTCCTACCTAGCAGAACACTGGCTATTCAAATGAACCTTTATACACAGTAAAAGTCAGCAGAGGTAGTGCACCCACTGAAGCACACTGTCTGCTGGTGTGATGGGAAATGATGGCTAGGATTAATTCTGAAAAAATAAGGTGGTGTTTGTGAGTCTTTGTATATTTTATGCATCCTTAAAGGGAAGGATTATTGCTGCAAGACATTCTGTGTACATTAGATCCCTCAACTACAACTTTGTGAATTTCTACATAAATTTGATCTAAAAGATCATCAGATCTTCATTTAGCTCATAACAATAAATAAAGAGAACCCAATTAAACAAAGCCCTTCCTGGATCGGGGCCTTGTCGTGGCGGAAGGGCTTGTGTGGTCTAGGGATCTTCAGAGCTAAGTCGTCGGGAGCAACATGCTCCTGGTAGGGTCTCCCAGGGCGAACAGGTCTGGAGTGAAGACCCAGACTAACTCGATCCAAAAACCTCCATGAAAAACGGACGCAAAACATCGTGTACCCTGCCCGGGAGAGGGTCACCGGGACCTACCCCTGGAGCCAGGCCTGGGGGTAGCGTCCCTCGGCGAGCGCCTGGTGGCCGGGCAGCCCACGTAACCCGGCCGGGCTCAGCCCGAAGAGGCAACGTGGGGGGACCATGTGGGCCCACCACCCGCAAGGTCCAGCATGGGGGAGTGGTGCAGTGCCGTACAGGCAGTGGGAGATTGCAGGGGGGCCCTTGGTGGCCTAGGCCCCTGCGGCAGAAACTGGCTCTTGGTACGTGGAACGTAACCTCACTGGGGGGGAAGGAGCCGGAGCTTGTGCGGGAGGTTGAGAGGTACCAACTAGATATAGTTGGGCTCACCTCCACCCACAGTATCGGCTCTGGAACCAAACTCCTGGATAGGGGTTGGTCCCTCTCCTACTCCGGGGTTGCACAAGGTGAGAGGCGCCGGGCGGGTGTGGGGATACTCACGAGTCCCCGGCTGGCGGCAGTACAGTTGGAGTTTGTCCCGGTGGACGAGAGGGTCGCCTCAATGCGTATTAAAATCGCAGAGAGGAAAACTCTGACTGTTGTGTGTGCTTATGCACCAAACAACAGGTCGGAGTATTCGGCCTTCTTGGAGCAAGTGGGCGGGGTTCTGGAAAGGGTCCCAACTACAGACTCCATAGTCTTACTGGGAGACTTCAATGCTCATGTTGGCAATGACTGGGAGACCTGGAGAGGCGTGATTGGGAAGAACGGCCTGCCCGATCTAAACCCGAATGGTGAATTGTTATTGGACTTCTGTGCCAGGCATGGATTGTCCATAACGAACACCAAGTTCGAACACAAGGATGTTCATAAGTGTACATGGTACCAGAGCTCCTTGGGTCAAAGGTCAATGATCGACTTTGTTGTCGTTTCATCTGACTTGGGACCATATGTTCTGGACACTCGGGTGAAGAGAGGTGCTGAGCTGTCAACTGATCACCATCTGGTGGTGAGTTGGATCAGATGGCAGGGAGGCAGGGAAGACTGAGGGTTAGACCCGGTAGGCCCAAGCGAATAGTGAGGGTGTGCTGGGAACGACTGTCGGAGGCCCCTGTTCGGAATGATTTTAACTCCCACCTCCGGGAGAGCTTTTCTCATGTCCCGGAGGAGGTAGGGGACATAGAGTCTGAATGGACCCTGTTCAAAACCTCCATTGTGGAAGCTGCCAGGCGCAGCTGTGGCCAAAAGCTTGTCGGTGCCTGTCATGGCGGTAACCCAAGAACCCCCTGGTGGACACCGGTGGTGAGGGAGGCCGTCAAGCTGAAGAAAGAGGCCTTTAGGGACTGGATGGCCCGAAGGACTCCCGATTCAGCAGATAGGTACCGACATGCAAAAAAGGTGGCAGCTGCAACTGTGGCAGAAGCAAAATCCAGGGCGTGGGAGGAGTTTGGTGAGGCCATGGAAAAAGACTTTCGGTCGGCCTCGAGGAGGTTCTGGACAACTGTCCGGCGACTCAGGAGTGGTCGGGGTGACTGCGCCCAGGCTGTATTCAGCAGGGGTGGAGAAACTCTGACTTCAAATGAGGATATTGTCGGTTGGTGGAAAGAGCACTTTGAGGAACTCCTTAATCCGGGTGACATGCCTCCCTCACGGGAGTCAGGGCCAGAGGCCTCTGGTGTGTCAAGCTCCATTTCCCTGGTGGAGGTCACTGAGGTAGTTGGCAAGCTCTTCAGTGGCAAGGCACCGGGGGTGGATGAGATTCGTCCGGAGATGCTTAAGGCTCTGGATATTGTGGGGCTGTCGTGGCTGACATGCCTCTGCAATAGTGCATGGACCTCGGGAACAGTACCCTTGGACTGGCAGACCGGGGTGGTGGTCCCTATTTTCAAGAAAGGGGACCGGAGGGTGTGTGCCAACTATCGGGGTATCACACTGCTCAGCCTCCCTGGGAAAGTCTATGCCAAGGTGCTGGAAAGGAGACTTCGGCCGATAGTTGAACCTCAGATTGAGGAGGAACAATGCGGATTCCGTCCCGGCCGTGGAACAATGGACCAGCTTTTCACCCTCTCACGGATTGTTGAGGGGGCATGGGAGTTTGCCAACCCAGTCTACATGTGTTTTGTGGATTTGGAGAAGGCTTACGACCGTGTTCCCTGAGATATCTTGTGGGAGGTCCTCCGGGAGTATGGGGTGCCGGGGTTACTACTCCGGGCCATTCAATCTCTGTACGCCCGGAGTGAGAGCTGTGTTCGTATACTCGGCATTAAGTCGGACTCTTTCAGTGTTAGCGTTGGACTCCGCCAGGGTTGTGCCCTGTCTCCACTCCTGTTTGTGATATTCATGGACAGGGTGTCAAGGCGTAGCCGGGGTCAGGAGGGCATTATGTGTGGAGGCCGGAGGGTGGCGTCTCTGCTATTTGCAGATGATGTTGTTCTTTTGGCTGGATCACATGGATGCCTCCAGCGCACACTGGAGCGGTTTGCAGCTGAGTGTGAAGCGGTTGGTATGCGGATCAGCACCTCCAAGTCTGAGTCCATGGTCTTAGCCTGGAAAAGGATGGTATGCCCACTCCAGGTAGGGGGAAAGGACCTGCCCCAGGTGGAGGAGTTTAAGTATCTCGGGGTCTTGTTCACGAGTGATGGGAAGAAGGATCGTGAGATCGACCGCAGGCTGGGACAAGCGGCAGCAGTAATGCGGTCGCTGTACCGGACTGTAGTGGTGAAGAGGGAGCTGAGCCGTAAGGCGAAGCTCTCTGTTTACCGATCGGTCTACATCCCGACCCTCACCTATGGTCATGAGCTGTGGGTAATGACCGAAAGAATGAGATCGCGAATACAAGCGGCAGAAATGAGCTTTCTTCGCAGGGTGGCGGGCTACACTCTATTTGATAGGGTGAGGAGCTCGGCCATCCGGGAGGAGCTCGGAGTAGAGCCGCTACTCCTCCGCATTGAGAGGAGCCAGCTGAGGTGGTTCGGGCATCTGATCCGGATGCCCCCGGGACGCCTCCCGGTGGGGGTGTACCAGGCACGGCCTACCGGAATAAGACCCCGGGGTCGTCCTAGGACCCGCTGGAGGGATTATATCTCCAAGTTGGCCTGGGAGCGGCTTGGGGTCCCCGGGAATGAGCTGGAGGAAGTTGCGGGGGACAGGGTCACCTGGGATTCTCTGCTCTCCCAACTGCTACCGCGACCCTATCTGGACTAAGCGGTTAACGATGATGATGATGATGATGAATTAAACAAGTAACACAAAAAGTATATAGTTTTTTCATTGAATCTAGCATTAAATGTCTTCATTGGCAAAAGTATGTAAACCTCTGCTCTCAGGAACTAGTGTGAGCCCCTTGAGCAGCAAAGACTTTAACCAGACGGTTCCTATAACTGTTGATCAGCCGTGCACATTGACCATTCCTTCTTACAGAGCTGCTTTGACTATGATAGGTTAGTGGGCTTTCTTGTATGAACACAACACCTTAGGTCCTGCCATTTCTATTTGATTAAGGTCTGGACTTTGACTAAGCCAATTCCAAAATGCAACATTTCTTCTGCTTAAACCATTCTTTGTAGACTAACTGGCGTTTTTAGGGTTGTTGTCTTTCTGCAAAACCCACCTTCTTTTGACATTCAGCTCAGGGACGGATGCCCTAACATTCTACTGTACAATTTCTTTAAAGAATCCAGTAGCAGCAAAACAGTCCCAAACCGAGATACTGCCACCACTGTGTTTCACAGCCATCCTAGAATACAGTGTTGGGTTTTGCAAAAAATAACGTAATATTTAATCATTTTGTTTCACAAATAGATGAAAAACTGTTTATTTGTTTAACTGGGTTCTCTTTATCTATTGTTATCTAATGACTTCAATCAAGATCTGGTCACATTTTAGGTCACATTTATGTAGAAATTCACAAAATGATGAAGGATTCACAAACAAATCCATGAGGGCTGGGGTCATCCAGAAGAAAACTATCTATCTATCTATATATATATAAATATATATATATATATATATATACACACACACACACACACACACACACACACACACGTGGACAGCATTGTTGGTACCCTTCTGTTAAAGAAAGAAAAACCCACAATGGTCACTGAAATAACTTGAAACTGACAAAAGTAATAATAAATAAAAATTGAATGAAAATCAACTAATGAAAATCAGACATTGCTTTTGAATTGTGGTTCAACAGAATAATTTTAAAAAACAAACTAATTAAACTGTCCTAATTAAACAAAAATGATGGTACCCCTAGAAAAGACTGAAAATAATTTCATTTGCCAAACGTGTAGTCTCATCTTCAGAGTCTGACCAAATCGGACTGAGCCATAAAACTGCTGCAATACTAAGTTTAGCTCAGTTTTGTCATTTTTGCTAGATCAATATTAATTCTAGTATATAATAGTAATAGTTATAATATATAATAGTTGTTTTGTTCCAGACAGTCTGTAAAGCATTTTACAGCCCAATTTGTTTGGCAAATGGTATTCGGTTAATTTCTGGCTAATTCCAGGTTGTTTAGGTTTTCTTCTGTCACAGCTGCCGACTAAAAAGCTTGCTCAGTGGTAATTACCGTTTCGGAATTTAGTGTAGTCTCATCTTCAGAGTCTGACCAAATCGGCTGTCGGTCAAATGTAATCTTAAAAGTATCCATTTTCTGTTTGTGCGCAAAGTAAGAAGTAAAAACGTTCAAATGGCTTGAGCATCTCCTACAGCTGTCAAACTCGTTGCTTAGCAACAGCGTCTCAGCAGTGTGATACAGTGTAAAAAAAAAAAGTGCTGTTATGGCAAAATAAGCACGGTTAGAACACTTCTCAACCAATCAGCTTGCGTGGCCGGAACTAACTGTTGTATATATATATGTGTGTGTGTCTGTGTGCGTGTGTACGTGTATGTGCATAAATATTGTGCTATATAGTATAGTAGTAATTATATAGTAATTTGTCCTCCACCGCATTCACCATTGGTTTGGTACTGACCACTAGACCATAGAATATATATATGTATTTTTCAATAATGTTTTGATTTGATTGCTAAGAGTGCATCAGGCTTAGAGGTGTCAGTGAACCTGCTAGGTTGAGAATGGTCCAACACCCAATAATGTCAAGTCAAGAGAAGTTCTGTGGTCAGAAATTGACCATTGATGAAAGGCTTGAGACTGACACAAATCAACAGATGTGCTATTATATATAACTGTATACTAGTTATTTAGATGTTTCCAATTCACTATATGTCAAAAATATCCACGAGCAGGTGTCTACAAACTTTTGGACATATAGTCAATATTCATTCTATATTTATTTATTTACAAAGCAATGCATGGTCTTATTTTGACTAGGAGATCCAGTAACTGCTGTTTGACATAATATGTGCACTGCACTGTAGGGTAACAGAGTTACTTACTGAAAACAATGCCCATCAGGATGACCCCGATAACCCCCATCATGATCATCATCTAAAGAAAAGAGAAAAATAATAAACATACACTGTGATAATATTTACATACAGAAACGGTTTCATACACCATCAGTATCATATCAAAAGCACATATCTACATTTTGTTCAGTCTTTTGTTTTTCAGTATAGAGATATATGTTTTAGTGATGATCCTGAATACACCTTGAGCTAGTCTAGATCTAGTCAAAACAAACATGTAGTCTTGCAGCACAGCAGTATATGAATAGGTGTGCTTCATCATGCAAATTAGAAATCTCTCAAAAGGTGCTCTTTTTAGGATGTCATGTCATGTTTTGTTAGTTTTTAAAGTGAATATAAGTTCATACATCCTCTACAGAAAAAAACACTTTCTAATAAACATGGCTGTTTATTTTGCTTAATTTAACACACTGGAAAAATGCTAAAACATGTGACCTCTGTACATTTGTGTTTTATTTTTCTCAGTACATTAAGCACAGCAAATAAAAAGACACTGTCCCCTAACACTGCAGAAAAATGCCATATTCGAGTCTGTTCCTTGTACAAGATTTGCCCATTTTTAATTTTAAAAAATCAATAAAACATGTAAATTATCTGGGGGTGCTCAAACCTTTGTATTCAACTGTAAGTGAAGCTGAAAATACCAATTTAAACTGGGGTGCCAAGGTGAACATAGTCTAAATCTTAGAGAATTGTGTTCACGTTTTCTGCAAGTTGTTCAAGCCCATCTTCATTCTCTGGTTCCCAGGAGCATGTTCTGATTTATGACTTCTCTTCAGTTTGCCTGTGGGAACACAGGAAGTACTGAAACATTGATTGAAACCCCATTCATTATGTCTGCAGCCTAAAGTGTGTAAATCTCTTGAGCCTGATGCATCACATTGATTTTAATGAAGCTTCTATGCCAGTGTTTCTCAGTGCTGCTCCTGAGGAGCCATTACACTGCACTGTTTCAACTAAACGAGTTCAGAAACACTGGCGTTAAAAGTTTCATGCGATGCATCAGGTTCAGGAGATAACAGTGATTTACTCACTTTAGGCAGCAGCCATAATGCATGGAGTTTCAATGTCTCAATATTTCTCCTGCCCCCATAGTAATTCTATGCTATTTTATTTATTTTCATAATGTGAGCTAGGTAAGTGCTGTAATGGAATGCTGACATGCACTAAAGCACTACTAATGTAATTTATATATGCAAATGTTTAAACATCCTTAGTCACATTTTTGTTGAAGGTTTAACAAATCATAAACAAATTTAATTATTTCAATTTTCTGCAAATTTTAGTGCACAATTTTGTTTTTTTTGTTTCACATATTAGAAAAAAACCCCTAAACCCATAAAATATAAATGTGCCATAACTTTCGCACAGGCCAATGTGGTAAATTCAGCAAATAAACAGTCACCGTGCATTAAAATACACATAAATGTGCTCTCTTATGTTCTCTTGAAGATGTGTTGACTTATTTAAATTAGAAAATCAAATAAATATGCACAAAGCTTTTGATAAGGGGCACCCAAACTTTCACATATGCAATTTTGGTAAAAGTACTGAAAATGTGCTGTAGCTAAAGTATCAACGACACTACTGGAAAAATAGTAGTTCGGTTCATGTGTTGATTTTGCTGTGTTAGCTTTGGGAAAAAAGGCTAATAATGGGATAATAAAATTCAGCCATCTGCCAATTTGGAAATTGGAATCAGCTACAAAAATTCATGAACAGTGAATACAAAAATTCTTCATTTCAAAATTTCTCTCAGTAAATAACTCTAGTCCTAGGTTATATGAGATTGTTTCCTAGTTTGTATTGGTTGTTTGTCTTTAGTATTATAATGGCTAGTGGGCAGAGTCTAAACACCACCGCCTGTAGCTGTCATATAAAAAATGTTATAGGTCCATTTTTGAAAATGGCTGCCCTGAGTCAACATTTGTGAAAATATGTTAAAACATCCCCTACAGTTAACAAGATTACATATTGGATTTTTCTGTTTTATTTCATAAATTTTAGTGCAAAGTCTTTATTTATTTGCTGAGTTTAATATATTGCAAAACATAAAATATAAAAAGTGGCATAACTTCTACACAGGCTACATTTATGTTTTATATTTTCCCCACTATGTTAATTTAGTGTACAATTTAATGGAAAATTTACTGCACAATTTTAGTTATTTCCTGAGTTTAACATACTGGAAACAATGAAACAATATATAAAATGTGGCATAACCTTTGCACAGGACATATTTTATGCTTTTTTTTCCCAATATGATAAATTCAGCAAATAAACAGTAATTGTGCATTAAATATACAGACGTGTTTTCTCTGTAGAGGATATATCAAGTTATTTTCACTTCTTTGTTCAAATCAACAAATTAACTTAATTTGGCCAGAGGCGCCCAAACCTTTGCACAACTGTAAAAAATAAAAAAATTAAAAAAAGAAAAAAGTACACTTAATGTACGACTGGACATTAAAGTTAAGAATGTGTTTTTCTTTTCCAATAAAGTTACCATTTCAGAGATACAAAAACATTTTGCAAGAGCACCAGTGACAAACTGATTTCCCTGGAAAGCCAAAAAATACCCTCAGATTTAAAATCTGACTAAATAACAGCATCACTCCCTCTGCTGCACTTTCCTCATCACTCAACACAATATAGATGGTCCTGCAGAGATTCTGTGAAATAAATATTAAATAATTCCAAAAGCAAAGCAGAAAAGAGATATTTTTTCTAAGGGTGGGAACAGTCACTAGAGTAGTTTATTTTAGCCATGAGGGGAAAAAAGAGGTGGCGAGTGCATGTATGAGAGAGCAGGAGAGGGGAGGGATTATTATTAGTGGCGGTTACATCACGAGTTGCAGCTGGGTTTTAATCCAGCCGTGCTGTAATCCAGATTGAGGCTAGAAGCACCCTCCCCCAACCTCTGTCCAGAGACGTGATTGGATGGGAGGGTATTCAGCCATCTGGGTAAGAAGGCAGTGGGGGTGGGGACAAGAGAAGAGGAAGGAGAGAACATGGGGGGGTTATAAATTTATACTGTAGGATGGATTGACAGAGAGCTGGATGAAGGGATAAAAATGTAATATGTAAAGTGAGGCTGACTGAATGGAGCTGAGCCAAATACACCATCATCACTACGACAGCAGCAAGAGATTCTCATTCTGTTAAATGGACCGGGGCTCGCGTCAGAACTGGACTCAAACAGTGGCCCAAGGAAGTATTTGGACACTTTAACCATTTAACCATTGATAAACTTTAATAAAATTCTTAAGGACACTTCATAACATATTTAAATATTATTTGTTTCAGAGAAAAGCACTTTCAGAAGAACATCAAACTGATGGTAGACTGTGTGGAGAAAGCCTGGAGCCGTATTACAGAATCACATTTCCTAAATACTGTCCTAACTTTAACCCCAATCGTGCCTTAACTACTGTTTAACTGTATGTTTCCATCATTTTTAGGCAACTGTGACAGGCAGCACAGTTCACTACTAACATAACTTACATTTTTAACATTATTTTGATTACATGTTTATGCTTCAGTAGTGCCAAAGTGACAGAACTTAAGCCCAACCAAGTGGTAGTTACAAAACACATAAACAGTTCAAAACTTCCCTATCCTGAACTACTAGCCTGAGAAAATACTTAAAATTTGACTACTTGTCACTCAGTGTTGTGTGTAAGATGTATAGAAGCAGTACTGGCTACTGTCACAACAAATCTGCATCATCATAAGGAGTCTTTAAATGAATTAAATATATTTACAGGCCTACATTGAAAATAAAAATACACCTATTTATTGGTGTTTGTAGCCTGAATTGAAAGTCGTCCTTTTTACTCACACTAGCAGTTGAAAATACACTGAATGCTGTGATATGTATGTCTCTCACTTTAAAGCACCTCATGGAACTCACTCATGTTTCACAGGCTACAAATTCTCCACAAGAGGGTGCCAATAGCAGACATTAGTAATAATTTATCGCTTCACCAAAACCAAAGCTTTTCTATAAATTAAGTTAAAAAACAACAGATATCTCACTTTCAGTACAAATGTGTGCAAACATATAAGAGTAGTATTTTAGCATAATACTAGCTACTTACTGTTGTTAACATTAATGTTAACATTCAGCTATATGTGGCTACTGCTGTTATTATGTAACTGACCTTACCTCACTTTACATTACGCTGCACAATTTTGTGATATTTCAGGCTATATTTGTTGCAGCATCAGATCTCGCCGGCTCTTTTTTTCTGGCATTTTCTGCTGGTAAGACCATGTCTAGTTCTTAGCTTTATTGCCCATTAATCTAAAAAGGTTTTATTTCAAGTAATTTTGGAAGATTTCTATTGGTTCACGTCATGAAATGTTCACACAGTGTAATGGGTAGCTGGCATTTTCAAAAAATGGAAGTGTTAATATAGCAACTTTCTAGTTGCCACACTAGCCTAGTGATTTATAGGTCGAGCTGCATTCAGGTTATTTCAAAACGAAAACACTCCAGCATCAACACTGAGTCAGCAATGCCCTATACGGCAGCTCCAGCAGCAACCCCCCCATACTGCTAATGAAAGAACTCGATGACACAGGCACAAAAGCAGATGTAATTGCAGGCCTGTTCGAGAAGGATCCTGGCTTTTTTTATGAAAGCACTCTCCTGAGATTCTGTAAATCCTTAAACCAGTTTATTTGCTACCTCTTACATTGACTTGCATCACAAATGCCTGTCAATTTGATAGTTTTAAGGATGTCCTTTGCATACAGTATTTATTCTAACTTCCACCAAATTGCCACCGTTACAACAAAACTTTGCACCTTTAAAATGATAACTTTATAGAAGAAAAGGCATTCTAACATAAAGAAATATCATGTAATGAGATCTTATTCTACGTAATTATGGCCATTTCAATTGGTTCATTGTTCATTAAATGTTTACACCACGTAAATAAAAAAGGATAATATCTAAACAAAGAGGTAAATAAGTGAATGGCATAATCAATTATGTCCAATCCACCTCATGCTATAGTCTGTTGTTAGGTCTTAACTAACCATGGAAAGACTAGTCCAGACTGCCATCTAAAGCCACTTTTTGTTTCTGCTCATGCACACTTAAGTACATTTTACAGGACCCACCTTGCAGTTCTTCCACCAGTATTTGTTCTTCAGCTTGGCAGCACTGCTCTCGAACTGCGAGGCTCCAGCCTGCAGCGCGTCGGCCCGGTCGTCCAGCTCCGACAGCTTCTGATCCCTCTCCAGAACCTTGTCCACATTCACACGCATGATATCCACCACCTAGAGGGGTTCATTCAAGGTGGAATCAGTTATGCCCATACAACATCCTGATCCAATGGTAATTTCAAATATAATGATGATGCACAAGTAGAATATATATTATTTATAGATTTTACCCATTAGGACAAAATAAGAAAAACATTTCAGTGCTTAAATGTATTATGTTTCTGCTGATGATGTCATCTCACTTTTTGCAAAAGTGCTTCAGTCCTTTTTGCAAGTCACAGTCTGACTCACACTAGAATGCTACACACTGAATGCTGTAATATATTTCTCTCACTTTGACATTTTCTCACCAATAAAAACGCTCCAAGTCTTCTTAATTCTGTCTATCTATCTATCTATCTATCTATCTACCTGTCTATCTATCTATCCTTGGGCAAACTACATCCACAATTACTGTTTCTTTGCTAAATTTAACACATTGAAAAGAAATAAACACATAAAAGCTGGCCTGTGCAAAACTTACAGCACATGTAATTTTTCATATTCCATTTTTTCAATATGTTAAACTCAGCAAATAAATACAAATGCACTAAAATCTGCAGGAAAAAATGCCTTAAGTTAGTTAAGTAACTTAAGTAACTCTGATAAACTTTTGCATATGACTGTGTCTTTGTATTTGATATTCAATCTGAATCCAACAAAGCTACTGGTAACAAATGAAACACTCATTTGTTATCTTTGTTCTATAATGTCTATAAATCAATCTTGCTTCTTCTTTATTTCACGGACATGCATACCTCATCCACTTGGGCTTGTGTCTGTTGGAGGCGGCGGTTGCTGGTGAGGTTTGGGGCCGCAGTGGGTGGTCCCCCCTCACCTTCTGGAGCCCCGGGGGCACCTGGGCTAGCAGCAGCATCCGGGGCAGGGGCGGACCTGAGCAGAGGAATCAGGAGCTCAGATCACCACAGATCAGAAAAAACCACAACAGGACAGTGATGCACTGAATCATTTCCATATGAATAAAATATATTACAAACACAAATGTGTCTTTCAGTTTACCTACTTTTGGCAATAACTGTGGTGATGTGCTATATATGGAAATGATGTACATGTTTGAGGCCAGTAAATTCAGTGCATTATTTTCAGTTTCCAGTGGTTTCAAAAATGTGCTGAAACCCAAAACCTACAAGAAAGTTTGTGTTTGTTCTAAATGGGCTGTTTATGGTTTGATGTAACATGTCCAGAGAAACACACCAAGTCAGAATTATTCACAGTGCTGGTGATAGAAACCAGACATCCAAAGCAGCTAATGCCTCTAAAAGATACATAACCATTATGAAATGGTTATGAATACTTTGCATGATGCCTGAGGGATTCTATGATAGTTTTGGGACAATAGATTGAAGGTTTGGCCTAAAACATACAGCCTACTTTTTATAACTGTTCAAGGTGGAGTGGTACACGCAGAGTGTTACAAGGCAAAATAGTCCCCAGTGAAAACTTTGGATTTTCCACTATTTTACCATCATCAACATCACATATAAAATACAGAAAACACATGTAGGTTCACTGGTGCTTTTGGACAGTAAATAAAATTGTGTATGTTGTGGACATTGTGATCCCTGGTTCCCATCAGCACCACTGTAAAGAAATCTGAGCCTATACGTTTCCCTACAAATGAACTGTTTCACATCAAACCTCTCTAAATGACTTGTTTACATCTCAACCACTGAATTATGCAGATACATTTTTAAAAATCCGTGGAATTCTCCTTTAAGCCTCTATCAATAGGCCTCATCAGAGCTGAAGAGGCCCAAACACTTAAAAGATGAGGTGTCGCAAGTAATAGAGCTCAGGACACAGGAAGACACAGAAAGGCTTTCTTCCAAGAAACTAGCATATTTTTAAATTAATTTCTGGTTAAAGTTTGCCTCGTTTGGGCAGGAGCTGAGAACAGCTGAGATCTAATCCGGCTGTATGAGGTGCGTAAGAATGCGGATTTACCGTCTAATGAAATAAAAAACGCCGATTTGTTTTTTTGTTTGTTTGTTTGTTTGTTTTTTTTGGCTCAAAAATCGCACAAAAAACAATACATTGTTACTTTCAATCCACAGTTAATATGACTTTCTGCTGTTTCTAAATGCCTGGCCAACGCAGATTGAATGCACTTAGGAAACGAAAAACAGTGAGTTATTTAAGGATAAAAAAAACACAAAACTATGATGAGAGACAGCATATTCGATAATTAAACCCATTCAGGATAAAACTGTCGGTTTTCTGTCAGGTTTGGATGGTAGAAAATAATTCCGCATACTTACATTTCGACGGCAGGCGCTTAGCAGAATGAGTCGGGACAGACTGGATGAGAGAGAGAGAGAGAGAGAGAGAGAGAGAGAGAGAGAGATTCCAGTAAAGAAGCCTACATATCAAACTGAATTTTCAGCCTTTCCAGCCTTACTTTTTCCTCATTAAAAAAGTAATAAATAAATGATAAGAAATGAAAACCGACTGCTCTGAGTGTAAACGTGAACCTAGCTGATGTGCTGCGTTAGAAGAGTGCTGCATTACCAGCAGAGCTCGACGAAACGGCGGTTCTGAAGCAGCAGATCAATCAGTGAAGAGGCGAACCGCTGCTTTTCCCTCAGAAACAAATCTCAGTTTTTGTTTGAAAGAAACGTCCTTTATCAGCTGCGCAGGTGAAAAAAAAGCTGTGGGTCTGGATGAAAAAGTAAGAGAAAAGAGGAGGAAGCGTGGAGAAAAGGTCTGTTTTATAGAACGAAAATAACTACGCACGAAGGAGAAGTGATGGGAGGAGAGAGTGGATGAGTGAGTCAGTCTCTCTCTCTCTCTCTCTCTCTCTCTCTCTCATTACTCTCTCTCTCTCTCTCTCTGCAGCAGGCTGAGCTGTCTGGCGCGCTCTGTGTTCTGTTTTCTCTCCTCTTCCTGTACTGTAGTCTCTGCAGTTCACAGGACAGCACTGCGCCACAACTTTACTCAGCATCCACCGACAGCCTCCCCAACACCTACAGTGAAGGATTAATGTGGATGTTTTGATTTATTTTCACACAGTTCCCTTTCTCGTTATCGGTCGCTCATTTCACCGTGCTTCCATATGATATCCGCAGTATCAGGTAGAGGTCTACGGTACACTCCTAAAACAGACAGTTCTTCAAGGGTTCTTTATTGAAAGGAATGTATGGTCAAATGGTTCTCCGGATTGATGGAGAATGTGTTGTACATGGTTCTTTTATAGAATCTTTTTAAAAAATGGCTCTGTACAGCACCAAAAGGGTTCTTCTATTGTTTTGGTGTCAAACTTGTAACAATAGAAGAACCCTTTTTGGTGCTATATAACACATTCTCTATCAATCTGAAGAACCTTTCACCATGCAAAGAACTATTTAAGCATGAAATGGTTCTACATAGAACTCTATTACTAAAGAACCCTTGAAGGACTGTCTGTTTTAAGTGTGTAAGGATGGGTGGCATGTATCTTTAAGAGGCATTAAACTCTTTAGACGTCTGGTTCCTATCACCACCACTGTAAACAATTCTGAATCGGCAAGTTTCTCTAGAGCAGAGCATTTCACACCAAATCACTCGGAATGGCTTTGTTTACATCTTAACCGTTTAATTATGCAGACATTTTGAAAAATTGGTTAAATTCCCCTTTAAATAACCAGAAAGGCCATTTTTCGTAATGGCTAAAATGGCCTAAATTTCCCTTAATTAAATAAAGATTTTGGGATTCAAACTACAGATTCTGTAGCCTTGTCAGTTGCAAGGCCACAAATGTAAGTAATCCATTATACAAGTACAACAAATATAATAATCGTAGTCTTAAGCCTTACTAAGCTTAAGCTTTAAGTGTTTATATTTACTATAGTTACATCAGACATGTAGGTTGTTTAGTGTACAGTTTAGGTAATTTCAGTAAGTCTTTTCCGGTCCACATCATGGAGGACAGTGCTATTTTGGCTGCTGTGGCATCAGTGCAGCCAATAGCCAAGCTCAGCAAAGTCCCCCCGCCAGTACAGATGCTGTAGTAACAGTCATGCCGACTGCTGAGCTCAGACCACCAATCAATGACAGCAAAATTAGGCACGGAGCCCAACCGGTCAGCAAAGAGCTGAGCACTAATGCTTCAACTTTGGCTCCATCAACAAATTCAATCAGTTGGAAACTTTTTTTTTTTCCTTCCGGCAAACGGAAGAACAGTTTTTACGTCAGCTGGAATCTTGCCCATCACAAAACTGGAACAGGCACAGCACTTAATGGGATAATTCAACTAGCTTGCCAAAAAAGCTGAATTTTAGCTACAACAAGTGACAGGACAGAGACAAGGGGGTAAACAGGACACACTCAGCTCAGTAAGATTTTATTCTCATTTATTTTCACGCAACTCTCTCTCTCTGTCATCATTCTGAATTTCAGTACATACAGTATACAGTATCAGCTTCATTCATGCTAGTCACAGCTGTCACTGACCTGTTAAATTCAAGTAAATGAAAAGTAATGATAGTCTATTTTATATTGTTTCTGAACTAAATGAATTCCAATATTTGGAGTTCATGGAAGTCATTTTGTCAGCCTACGTAGAGCATGAATGATTTTTTTTCTGCTAGCTGACAAATGCAACTGAAGCCTTACATCTAATGGTACTCCTATTGTGGAATATCACGTTGCATTACATCAGTGACTATGCTAGCAGTCAGGATTTCTTTACTGCAGTGGAGGGATTGAATGAATGAATGCAATGAATATAAAACAGACAGTGAATATAAAATAAAGTATCCAGTCAGTTTTAGGCCTCTTTTAAGTAGTCTGTGCCAATGTCATTGCTACAGTGAATACCTTGGTATTAAAACTCTCAAAACGTGGTCTTTCAAATGAATTATGGAATGATAGTGAATACATTTAAAGAAATAAAAAAACAGACCAGAAACTTGCAGATTGAAACAAACAATGGAATGCCACTGACTGATGATATGACAACATATCATACATGTTGCAAAGTCTAAATTAAATACCAAAGGCTATAAAATTGACAATTTAAATCAAATATCTCAAACATTTCCCCTTCAAGAATCAGTATACTCTGAAACTGCATATGTATTGAACTATGTTCCTCTAGCAGACACACTCAAACATCATCTTTATTTATTATGCACTGTAATATTCATACATCCATATTTATATTTACATTAATGTGTAAAGATCTACTGTAAATTATTGAGATAATGTGGAGCGTATGACAGAATAACTGCTAAATGTGCTAAACTGTTCTCATGGTGCATGGTCAACTATGATCAAATGACTATTCCCACTATGGAGACTGAGTAGACGGACATTCATTGACAGTTCAAGAAAAAATGGTTTGGAAAAGTAAGCGAACCAGCACTCTTACAGAGAGCACCCAAATGCACTTCCTACTGCAAGCAGATCCATTTCAGAATCTCAAAAACAGCATCAGGCATTTTTTCATCCACCCTGTGATGTGCTGTTATTTACATCCAAGTACAGTTGTGATTGGTTGTGTGTACTTTGGAGAATCAACTAACCAACAGAGTTACATTTACACCCACAAAGCTCTAATAGTTAATTCAAGATTGGTGATTTCACAATAATGTCTTCAGAAATTATCATTTAAGACTTTACAGGTGGTAGAACAAAGCTCTACAACCTCAATTATCCAGCTGAACTTCTCTCCCCGTCCCACCCTATCCTGAAAACAGACTATAAATGTTCACTAACTTCATGAAGTGCATGTTTTGTGGAACATAAACAAAACCACACCGTTACTGACCATGGCAAATGTGCTTTGTACAGCACAGCGTATGTACAAACAGTGTATAAAACAGCAGAATCTCTTTATTATAAGTCACAATGTACAGTGAGTTGCCAGTATATTAAGCACACCTGTAAGTGCGCTATTTTGCCAGGAACTCTCTATAGGTGCATTTTATAGGTTTGTAGGCAACACTGCAGAGCCTGAAACACTTGTACCAGTGCAACGCGCACTGGTATGTTGGTGCAATTGCTGTGCTGAGAATGATTCACCACACAAATAATATCTGGTCAGTTGTGGGTGGTCTTTTGGTGGTCCCTTTCCACGGAAGAACGGGGAAAAGGGGGTTGATAAACCGTACAGCAACAGACGGACTACTGTCAATAACTGTAAACCTATAAAGTGCACCTATATGGTAGGTGTGCCTGGAAAAATGACCAAGGTTTGTAGATACAAGTTAGGGATACAATGATAGACTGACAACTGACCTACAGAGAGACATAAGCACTACAATGTATACTATAGGATGTTTCTGGCTTTAAAAGAATGCTGCTGGTCCCAAGGTGAGCCCTATTCATTGATTAGGGAAATACTGTACAATCCTCTACCTCTTTTGGCATTACAGGTTACTAAGTTATCTTCATCTACTTTAAAAAGGGACTGCCTTATGCAAAAAGTGTTGATTCATTAATTTATTTAAGGATGCTCCTTGAGCTTGAATTGAATTGTAATTGAATTGATAAAATATTACCTTTAATGTTATTAGTATTATTAGTAATATTAGTAGTATTTATGTGAATCTGAAACGTTGTGTAAAACGAAACTCTTTTTCTCTGGAAAAAGTGCTAATAGTGTGTAATTGTGTATAAACGTTCCAAGTGCCCAAAGAGTGTCTGCTTCTGTTACATGTAGTGATAATCTGTATCACTAGATGGCACTAGTGGCTTTTGTAGGTTTTGTCTTAGGTTGCTGGCCCTTTAAGAGGCTGCCTCAAACCCTCTGTTAATTGTGGATGTAAAGTGCAGGATCATCAGTTGACCACGAAATGTAAACAGCCTTTCAGGTTGGGGCGAAGTTATAAAAAAGGCTGTTAGGACTTTTTCCAGGTAGGATGAGAGACAGTGAGGTTGTTCTGAATGTCGCAGTATGGTTCAGTGCTGCCAGAATCTGCTGGAAGAGTCGCCTTCTTCCTCTCCCTCTCTCCTTCTTCTCCATCCTCCACAGTCACAGAAATGAGAAGTGGGGATTTTCTGGAAAAAAAAAGATGAAGAAATCTGAATAGCTGGAACAGTATAAACTCACTGGCCAACCTTATAAGGTAAACCTACCTTGTATCTACACTCAATGCTAACAAATTATGCAGAGAAACTGTGAAATTGTAGAACTACAACATACCTGATAAAATGGACAGTTAATGTGGATACATGGTACCTAATGAAGTGGCCAGTACATGTATAATAAATACTTGCAAACAGTGGCAGCAGATTGTCTTCTACTGAACATTGACTTTTAACATGGTTCTGTTATAGGATGAGACCTCTCCAGTAACTCTGTCATTTTTCTGCACTGCTAGGATGCCACAAGAATCAGTTACAGAGAAAAGAAAAAAAAAAAATCCAACTCAAACAAAGAAGCTTCTGGTGTTCTTAGGACAATGGATTGACCACCCCACCACCAGCAGCAAATTTCTAAGACTGAACTTTGGCGATCTGGAAAAATTCTTGCAGAACTCAGTGTAAGTCTTCAGAAAGGAATAGAAGCTGTAATAAAGTTACACTTAATACAGGAAATGTTGATATTATATTTACAGCTGAGTGCAAAAGTTCGCACCCTCTTTGAAATGAGCAAGACAAATAGTTATTTTAATGAACTCAATATTTAATGAAAAATCAGATTTCCCAAATGCCCCTTTATCATCAAAAGTAAGAAATATGGTTAAAAAGTATATAGCAGAAAAATGACAGTGACATAAACGAAATGAAGTTCAAAAATTTGCATCCCCCTTTTATGAAATACGGTCTGATATCTTGCATGTCCATGATTTGTCTTTAAAACCTCCTCTAACCTCTGGGTATCCTCTGAGCAAGTTTTGTATCCTCTCAGGTGTAATTTTAGTCCATTCTTGCTGGCATATTGGCTGCAGCTCAACTAGACTGATGGACTGTCTACCACGCAGTGCTTTCTTCCAATTATCCACAGATGTTCTACTGTATTCAAGTCTGGAGACTGAGAAAGCCATGGCAAAACTTTCACTTTCTTCCGTGCCTCAATTGACTTTGCTTTATGCTTTGGATCATTATCTTGTTGCAGGATCCATCTATGCTTCATTTTTAGCTTTTTGACTGATGGTAGGAGGCTTTGTTGTAAAATCTGTTGACATTGGCCTGCATACATTCTTCCTTCCACTATCTGCAGAACTACAGTCATGCACATGCAGACATACACTACCAAAACAACAGAGATCTTCCACCACGTCTTGCCGTGGGGACGGCGTTCTTTTTCTTACAAGCACAGTTTTTTTTTCCTCACCACACCTATCTGTGTGAATTATGACCAAAAAGTAAGCAGTGGCTTCCTTTTTTCCCAAACAATCCAGACTTTTCCAGACAGCTTCACTGTGGAGATGTGGACCTGTACACCTGTAGTCCCCTGCTGTTTGTTTTGGAATCTTTTTGAGCTCTCAAACAATTTTCTAGAAGTTCAATCAGTTATTTGTATTGGCCTTAATGTGTCCATGATATTCCATTTCTTCCATTTTTCTTTTTATCCTTCTTCAGCTCTATGAAATGTTAGTGTTTTCGTTTTGAAGTCTTCTGACAGCTGATCCCATTTTTGTGGCCCTCAGCAAACAGCCTAATCTAACACACCACTCATCAAGCACTGAGTGCTGGCCTTGATTTTTAACACTCAGACACCTAATTTTACATACTCAAGCTAAACACTTAGAATGTTTATCAAAGCGAATGCAAAGCTTGCTAGAAAATATCAATTTTGACATAAACTGAGCTGTTCTAACATGGAAGTTATAAGTTTTCAGAGGAAAACACCTCTGAAGAAATATGTCACATTATTTTGATGATTCATAGTATGACAGAGGTAAATTTTTGGATTATTCACAGATAATCTGAAGGGGATGCAAACTATTGTACTCAAACCGTAGTTGCTGAGGCCACGTGATAGAGCAATGCATGTTTAATGATATCTGTATGTTCTTGTGTACCTGTCTCCACTCTGTGTGATGAGCCTCCGGCAGGTCTCCATCTGCACATCCAAACCCCTCTTCATACTGCACATCTCCATGTACTCATGTAGGTGCCTGTTCATGTCTGACTTGGCAGTGGCCAACTCCAGCTGCAGAGAGACCGTGAGAACACGTGTGCATAGACTCAAACACTACACAGGCACTCACATCAGTTCACAGCATTTTTCAAAATATTACTAGATAAATACCCAAATGCACTATATGCCCCAAGTATCCAGATATCCCCTCTAATTGGTGAATTTAACTACTATAATGTGCACACATTGCTGACACAGCTTGTATAATCCTCATAGAAAAGCACTGCCAACAGAACGGAACAGCCTAGAGCAGCCACGCATGAGGCTGAAGTCACCACGCCCAACACAAATGATGCCTAAAGGGGTATAAAGCCTGCCTGCACTGGGTTGTGGAGCAATGGGACTGTGTTCTCTCGAATTATGGCGCTCCATCCAATACTTTTGGGATCAGTTAGAGTGACATCTGTGATCCAGAACTAGTCATCCAACTTCAGTATCTGACCTCACTAATGCTCTCATTTCTGAATGCAATCAGATCCTCACAGCAATGTTCCAACATCAAATGTTAGCCTTCCCAGAAGACCATTACTGCAGTAAAGAGAGAAAAAGACCCTACTGAAACCCTTGATTTCAGAAGAAAGACTGAGAAAGCAGTTGTCTATCTATGCATACCAGTATGTGACCAATATATTCTCAACTCAATTCAATCTCAATTCTTAAACCCTTTGTTGTACTGCTCTAGAACCTGTGCAGACACAAACACCATCAAGGCTGGCTTTCACAGTTTCTGCCTATCCTGCATTAAGAGGAGGTGCAACTGCAAAGTCTCTGCTTATTGACACACACCTCACCACACAGACTGCTCTCACCTCAATCTGGTCTATGGTCTCTTGGTATTCCTTCTCACGAGACTTGAACAGCGACTCAGTGTCCTTTATCACCTTCTCTATGGACTCCTCCTGCTGTGAGTGTACACAACAAATACATATCTTCTGGTTAGCACTGACTATTTCTTCTTAAAGGAGTAAAAGCCTCATAAAACATAACTGATGACTGGAACTATAGGACTGTTACTACAGCAAATGCTAAAATGAAGAAAACCATATATTTATTTGTAATAAATCTTTTTAATGTTGGAGACTTGACTTCTAGCAATGTTGTAGCTTATAGCTTAAGAACTGTTGGACCATTAGATCTGTTAGCTATAAGATACCAGGGTGTTTTCTAACAAAGAATTTTCCAGTCTTTTTTAAGAGTGTCTGTGGAGAGTACAGAAGATATAATATCATAAAGTAAATATATGCTTTATTTTACAGATAAACCTAAATTTAGAGAATATTCCGTATAAGATTGTCCTCTGTATATGATGAATGTGTTGTTACAAGATTTTACGATTAAGGAATGAAGGAATTGTCTGGTGATTTTACATAAAAATGTACCAGTTATTTTTGCCCAGTTACTTTCTGCCAATTCATTTTTACAAACTCTCTTTTTACCCCTTGTGTGTGTATTGTGCAATAATAATAATTGTCTGTGGAGACACTGGAACTATTTGTTTCCTGTCAACACCTCCTGTTGTTGTGACTGTTATTCAATAATAATAATAATAATATTATTAATATAATATACAACACTAAAGATATCAACTCAATAACAAAACAGGACAAAAACTCAGCAAAAACACAGAAGGACAACAAAACGACAAAGTGAACACAAGCAAAAGACAATATAAAAGCAGACAAAGCAAAATGTATTACCTCCCCCTGAGTTTCCACACCCAAGGTGTATCCTGGGAAATCCTCCCACAGCAGCAGAGTCTCCTCCGTCTCCTCCCACGCCAGACTATCACAGTCATCCTCAAACTCACACTCTCGCCTGCAACACACACACACATACACACACACAGTGGCTTTAAACAGGCTGCTAAAGAGGACTAATCGGTATTAAAAGATCAAGCCTGTCAAACCTGAAATATCCTCACACTCATGAAGCAGCTCTCAATATTTTTCACAAAACTGAAAGGGCATGAATCACCTCTTGCTTTGTGCCACTACCCATAACACCAAATCAATTAAATGTGCTGACCACTAACAGCAATAACTGGCACAGGTATCTATTTACTCATACAGAAATCTGATATATGGATTTCAAGTATATGTCATACATTAGCATGTATATATTTCCTTTATATCCAACTTATATTTTTCACATATGTGGCATGTTTGCCAACTCATTTTAAATTGGCCATTTTCAAATATGGGCAGCGACACAGGAAGCGGGGATGCAGCACCTCCAGATTTCAGAATTGCAACCTAAAAAAAAAAAATAATAATAATAATAATAATAATAATAATAATAGTATATTATTATATACAACCCCATGTCCAAAGAACGCTGTGCAAAATGTAAATAAAAACAAAATCCAATGATGTGCAAATCATTGAAACCCTATATTTAATTTAAAATAGTACAAAGACAACATATCAAATGTTGAAGCTGAGAAATGTTATTGATTTTTGAAAAATATTTGCCTATTTTGAATTCAAAATCTTTGGGCCCTCAGGTGACACTGCATTAAAACAGACATGATTCTGAGCTCAGAAATACTTCTGAAAACCACTGTCTATGAAAACAGTTAAAACTCTAAAACACAAAGAAGAAACCACATATAAACAGGATCCAGAAAGGCTGCCACCTTCTCTGGGCCTGAGCTCATTTAAAATGGACTGAGGGGAAGTGGAAAAATGTCCTCTGGTCCGACAAATCAACATTTGAAATTCTTTTTGGAATTATTTTCTGTAGTAAAAGAGTCCAGGCGCTAAACTGACCTGCCTGCAGTCCAGACCTGTTGCCACTGGTAACACCTGGCACATTATGAAATAAAAAATACGACAAATGAGACCCTGAACTGTTGAGCAGCTGAAATCCTATATCAAACAAGAACGGGAAAACATGGCCCTGGTAAACATGGTAAACATGCCCCGGTCCCAACTTTTTTGGAACGCGTTGCTGGCATCAAATTCAAAATGGGCATATATTTTTCAAAAAACAATAAAATTTCCCTGTTTCAACATTTAAAATGTTGTCTTTGTAGTATTTTCCTTTAAAAATATGGTTTACATGATTTGCACATCATTGCATTCTATTTTTATTTACATTCTGCACAGCGTCCCAACTTTCTTGGAAATGGGGTTGTGTACATATATATATATATATATATATATATATATATATATATATATATATATATATATATAGATCCATAAATACTTAGATATAAAGTTATTGTTATTTTAGCACAGCACAGCATATTGGAGTTAAAATTAAATAATGAATATGAGCATAAAGTGTTCAAAGACTTTCAGGTTTAATTTGAGAGTATTTACATCAAAATTGGGTGAACAGTGTAGGAATTACATATTTTCATTCATCTTTTGCATTCAATGACTGCCTGAAGTCTGGAACCCACAGACATCACAAGACTCTGGGTTTCTTCTTTGAGGATGTTCCACCAGACCTATACTGCAGCCGTCCCTGTATGTTCTTGGAGCGTTTTACTTTCAGTTTTGTCTTCAGTTAGTGAAATGCATGCAATAAATGGATTGAGGTCAGGTGACTGACTTGCCAACATTTGTCTTCTTTTCGTTAAAAAAGTCCTGGGTTGCTTTTGCAGTATGCTTCAGGTCATTGTCCATCTGCACTGTGCAGATAATATAGCAGTATACACTTCAGAATTCATCCTGCTGTTTTTGTCAGCAACCACATCATCAATAAATACAAGAGAACCAGTTCCACTGGCAGCAATACATGCCCAAACCATAACACTACATCCACATGAGATGGTATGCTTTGGATCATAAGCAGTTTCGTAAGACTTCCTTTCTTCATACTCTTCTCTTCCCATCATTCTGATACATGTTGATCTTTGTCTCATCAGTCCATAAGATGTTGTTCCACAACTGTACAGGCTTTTTTAGATGTTTTTTGGCAGACTCTAATTTGGTCACTCTGATTTTGGTTTATATCTTGTGCTGAACCATCTGTATTTACTCTGGTTTTACTTCTCTTGATAGTTGACACAGCTGACTCCCTGGAAGGTGTTCTTGATTTGGCCAACTGTCAGGGTTTTTCTTCACCAGGGAAGGAATTCACAACAGTTGTTTTCCATTGTCTTCTGGGCCTTTGTGTTTCTTAGCTGACCAGTGTGTTCTTTTTTTATGAATGCACAAAATAGTGAATTTGGCTACACCTAATGTTTTTGCTATCTCTCAGATGGGTTTGTTTTGATTTTCAGTCTAATGATGGCTTCCTCCACTGACAATAACTTCATATATAGGAGCTCACAGCAACAGATTCCAAAGGCAAATGCTACACTTGAAATTAACTCTAGACCTTTTATCTGCTTAGTAGGAAGTGAAATAATGAGAGAAAACACACACCTGGCCATTGAAGAGCTAAAGAGCCAACTGTCCAATTACTTTAAAGCCCCCCCCCCCCAAAAAGGGGGGGTGTCGATGAATGAAAATGGTAGTAATTCCTACACCATTCACCTGATTTGGATGTAAATACGCTCAAATTAAAGCTGAAAGTCTACACTTTCAGCTTGTATTCACTATTTAATTTAAACTCCAATATGCTGTGCTGGACAATCAAAATAACAACAATTTTGTTAGTGTCAAATGATTTATGGTCCTAACTGTATATGTTTAATATCTGCACTAGCTGTACCTCTAAGTTAATGATGTATTGTCATTAAAGCGAAATAAAGCCAAATCGTTGGGGGCACATTTCTAAAACACAAGCAGACTGAGGAGTCATGACGAATAATCTATGCAGAGTTAGTTCTGAGCCCCAAAGTGATCTAATGTTGTTTTTAAACCTAAAAAAATCATTTAACATAACAATAACATTAACCATTATCCCTTGCTCAGTGCTCCCTCAGTGTTAATTCTCACCACGGGACTGTGACAATATGTTACCACAACATGATCTGATTAGTCACTGCACAGTTCATTTGAATAAAGTTCGTCCAGAACGAGAGAGCAGAGTGAGGATGTCCATCAGTGGTTTGTTGCTATATTTATTTACTGTCATCTCTTGCCTCATTATAACAAGCTATGGTCTCTTCTACAGAATCTTCGAATTGTTCGAAGTGAAGGTGACGTCTGAAGCATTTAACGCCTGTAAATACACTGCTTTATTCCTGAAATATTGTTCTATGACAGTTTGGAGATAAAATTTTGGACAAAATGTATTTTTAAAACCATACATGCAGAGTGTTGTAAAGAAAAAAAAAAACTTGTTTTGTAGATGCATCACTGTTTTACCATCATCAACATTACACATAAAAACTCAAAAGACGTGTGTAGGCTCACTGTAAATAGTAAATAAAATGGCTATATTTGCATTGTAGACATCACAACCCCTGCTTCCTATCACCACCACAGTAAAGAAATCTGGGTTTCTTTATAATGAGCCATTTAACATCCAACAAATGAAATTGTTTATATCTGAACCATTGAATTATACAGAAGTTTGGAGAAATCCGTCAAATTCGCGTTTAAACAGCACAGCAAGTTTCACCAACTCCCACAAGAGTTGAAGCTCCTCACTTCCGCAGTGGAGCTCCTCACGTTAAAAGGAGCGAACGAACCCTGAAAGCCACAAGCTCTGTTGTGTTTTTTTCTTTTTTCTTTTGATGGTAAAACTTGGTCTTGATGAGGAAATGCCTTTGCCACAAACTGAAACTGTCCCAGATATGCTGCTGTGAAACATCCATGGTTTTAAATAATCAAATATAATATTTATTGAGAATTTTGTCCTAATTTTCCATGGGTTTTTAAAACTTGTCACAGCCAGATCAGAAACTCACACAGTGCTCTGTCTGAAGCCAAATGCTGGATGCTAGATTGTGTGTATGTCTATACAGTACTGTGCACTGTAAAGTCTTAGCCACCTAAGCACACCGTTTAAAACCATTTTCCCTCCTCGGCAAGGTTTGTATTTTTACCTTTAAAAATACCATATCCATTAGAATAGACACAAATACACGTAAAAGTAACAAGAATTGATTATTTCTTTTAATTGTAGTTGCTGTCTTGTGAGCTAGTTTGAAGAACAAAGTTTGGTCTCTTCTTTGGTCTCTTCAATGCCCTCAGCCATCACATAGATTTGTTAAATAATATCACCAACACCCATGATGTCACTTAATGAAGGACTGATTAGTTATCAACCAGGTATTGGATCATCATGCCACGTGGAGAAACTTGGAAATGGTTAAACAAACACACTGACATCACTACTTATTGTATTAATATTATTTGTATTTATTCTAATATAAGCGTTTTCTGGGCAAATAAATGCTCACCGTCCAGATAAACCGCTTTTAACATCTAATTTTCTCGGGTGGCTAAAATTTTTGCACAGTACTGTATGCATCATGAAGAGAACAGCACTTACAACTGGTTGAGCATCCTCTGCATTTCCTCATTGACTTGATTGGTGGATGAACCACACAGCTCCACCTCTTTAACCCCACCATCCTCACTCTCAGAGATACTGGTTGGTTCCTCGCCATCGTTGCTCTTCGTAGACTGAGGGGTCTGTTTCCGAGGACGGCGGGTTAGTGTTGAAGGAGGCGTGGCCACCTGCTAAAGAGAGAAATGCAAGAGAATGTGACATCATAACAATAATCAGATAAGACTTAAATTCTAAAGCAGGTGATAAAGCAGTAACTACTGAGATACCACACGTTACAGTGATTTTATCAGAGGTGTTGTTAGGCATGACACAAAGCACATTTTACTTATCATTAATAATGGCAGTAAATAATTCTTCTGCCAAGCCAGTTAGTTTGTTAACAGTTGGCTTTGGTTGCCAAGAATTTTTATGTATCTACATTTTTGAGGTTTTAGTTGGTGTATTAATACAGAATTCAACTGATGTATGCAGTCATAGGTGTTTACACTAGTTATTTTTGAACCGCTTTGAATGTGGCTCAGCCAATCAGATTTTAGAAATGGACTATCCACTATTTGATGTCACACTGACATGATCACCTCATATTTCAAGCTATACTAGTAATGTAATCAAAAATCCTATATTGACATCTAGTGCTTAAAGTATGCAGATGATTAATAAATATTTCAGTGCTATGAACAAGCATTTTGCGGGTGACAATGTCAAAGTAAAGGTAGCCTGAACTCTTTCTGCTCACCTGATACAATCTTCAGTGGCCAAGTCACAAATCTAATTAAAGAGCATGTCCAGTTCCTACTTAAGCAGCTTGTTGTCTACGAACATCTAAAAACAGGCTGGACTGAAGCCACTGCAGATTACACAAGTCTGAGCTGTGTTTTCTGACATTAAAAGGGTGCAGGTGAAGGCACAGGGAGAAAGTAACTGAGATGTATGGATATATAAAGACATAATGAAAATAAATGATATATGGACCAGGGTTATTATAGTAAACTAAAACTGTTAAACAAAATATAGTGGGTGAATGATAATTTAGAAGTGGAGCCCTTCTGTGCTTGACTGTCTTTGAGAAATGCTGGAGTTGAGCCGAGCTCAGTCTACTACATAACCCTGACATGGACTATTCTGTATCTGTATTCTAGTATCTCAATTAAGCTAAATATATATTAAATATATACAACATCTAAATATATACAATAAAGTGAAATGTATAAATATATACAGTATACAATCTATAAATATATACAAAATCATCATTTACAGGGTAATTTCTATTTGGTGGTGACTGTCCCAAACCCTAAGCCCTAAATTTACACTTATAAGTGTATATAAAATAATATAATAATATAAGTGTATATAAAATATTACTAACATTTTTTCATTTTTTTAAGATATTTTTGATTTCTTTAAAAGTGAAGTTCTAAAGATCTAGATCTTGTTAATCATGAGTTTACATTTTAAATACAAATATTTTATTCAGAAAATGCTGTCGCACATTTTCATTACCGAAAAAGTTTTAGTCCGTGGGTGGAGCCTTATTTTAGCCACGCCCCTGCATTGAGACTGCATCCCTGTCTCTCATGGCCACATGGTGAGCAGTTAGATCTCATTGTTTCGAAGTAAATGTGTCCCAAAGTCTGAAAATCAGTGTGTAACATTAAGAACTGTCACTACCGAATACATATTTTCTACAATTAAGTAAACATTTTTGTGTTTTAGTGAAAAATATTTGAATTTATTTGTGTAAAACTGTTTAAAGCTGGGCGGCACGGTGGCGCGGTGGGTAGCACTGTCGCCTCACAGCAAGAAGGGCCTGGGTTCGTTTCCCAGCCGGGCGACGAGGATCCTTACTGTGTGGAGTTTGCATGTTCTCCCTGTGTCTGCGTGGGTTTCCTCCGGGTACTCCGGTTTCCTCCCACGGTCCAAAAACATGCAGTCAGGCCAATTGGACATGCTAAATTGCCCCTAGGTGTGAATGTGTGTGTGATTGTGTATGTATGTATGTCTGTCTGTCTGCCCTGCGATGGACTAGCGACCTGTCCAGGGTGTATCCAGCACCCCCCCGCGACCCAGAAGGATAAGCGTGTATGTACGTATGTATGTATATATGTTTAAAGCTGTGTTTGCTAGTCATATACTGGCTAGAGTTTTTGAGTAATGCTCAAAATTAGCTTAAATTGTCACTACCGAAACTAAATTGTCACTACTGAGTGTTATTATTGTTTTGGTAGTCACAAAATGGAATGTTCAATCATTTATTTTAATAAAATAAACATAATTAAGGTGTAGGGTCACTCAAAGCAAACAGATTTTAGAATCATACATACAAAGACAGACAAAATCAGGGCTGGAGGAGAATAACCTCATACATGTGTAACGAGCATCATGTGAAACATTCATTATTTGTTATTAGTGGTATAAAATGCACAGTCATATGCAAAAGTTTGAACACCCCTGGTCAAGTGACACTGTAGATTTTCTAAGTGAAAATTCAACACATCCTCCAAGAGGAATAAATTCAAAATAAAAATGGCATTTTTCTGCAGATTTTAATGTACAATTCCTATTTATTTCCTATGCTTAACATGTTGAAATAAATAAAACATAAAATATTAAATGTGTCTATATAAACATTTTTCAAATATTTGCCCAGGCCCCATTTTTTTATTTTATTTTTGACATATAGATTCCAATGTAAATGTTAAAAAAACTTTGTGTATTGTTTTAAATAATTTCTCCAGTCAAATTTGTTTAAAAAAATTCTGAATAAACAAAAATAAACAAATCAAATTGAACCTAATTGGGTTGCGAGATTTTATGATGCATCAAATCACTTTGTAAAAAAATTCGTTATCAAATAATCACTGTGTGGTCAGAGATCTTCCTTATTTGGTTATCCACATGTAAATTCTTGAGTTAGATAGGTAGAGTGAGGACAACAAGGAGAAACAACCAAGAATAGAGTGATTTAGAGAAACACACCTGGAAGATCTGAATCATGTCCTCGCAGTTCCTCTGCTGAGCCACGTCACACAGCCGCGCTGTGATGTCGATCCGTCTGCAGATGTCCATGTCCACCTTCATGGCCTTTTCCTGGATCTTGCTGTCCAACTCTGAAAGATTCTAAGGAGTCGAGGAAAACAATGAGAAGAGAGAAAAGGACAGAAGGAAAAGGGAGAAAATATGCAAAAAAAAAGGACACTAACAGCATATTGTGTATTTATATGGACTCAGCAGCCATTGTTCTATTAAGAACCAGTTTTGCCGACTCTCACAAAAAGTTATAAAGGAATGAGGCAGGTTGTATAAAAGCGTCATTCCTGGGCCAAAAAAATGAGCTATTCCTCACTGACATGATTTCTCACTGCTGTTGTTGCCTTTTCTTTTAATATGTAAAGAACATGATTGAACACAGCCATTTAAAAATTGCTAAGTTTTTTAATTTGTTTGTGTTATTTTGAGCAAATAAACATATGAGTGGGAACAGACTTCACACTTCAGCCACCATTAACTGATAAAAAATCAAAAATAAGGCCTTAGTGATGTGAATTCTGGTCTAAATGCGAACTCATGCTCGCTTAGAAACTATCACAGTGCATCCAACAGTAAAGGCAGCATCAGCTTCTTTTATACAGTGATAGAAAACATGATAGCTCAATGAAAACTCCACTTCCACATGCTGATACATTTAACTATGAATAACATGCACATGCATCTGTTCCAGCTACCCTAACAACAGATTTAACATGAATTCCACCAATTGTTCAACATTTCTGCATAATTAAAATGCTAAGATGTAAAATATGGCTGGGCATTATGACAATATTTTCTCTTAATCATGATCATTTTTTGCCAAATTGCCCATAATGTAGACTAAGTGATTCAGAGTGGTTTGATGTGAAATGCTCCACTGCTGAGTCAGAATTATTCAAAGTGGTGGTGATAGGAATCAGACATCTGCAGCAATTAATGCCTTTAAAAGCTCCCTCACAGAAGTCTGCTACACGAAAAGGTTATGTGTGATGCATGAAACACCATTTTAAGACAGTTCTGAAAAACGTTTGGCTTAAAGTGTCTTTTTTAAAATCCATTCATGGCAGAAAGGCAAAAATAATCCCCAAAGAAGACTTTTGGATTCACCTCTATTCTACCATTATCGACATTACATTTTAGAAAAATCTAAAAACAGGGATCTTCAAACCGGCCCATAAATGCAGTATATAAAGATTAGAAACTATAAAGATCAAAAAGGCTAAAAAACAGCTAAACATGGCAAGAGTAACCAAACAAGCTGCACACCAATCACAGTAGTGTGGCCTGTGCTGCCAGGCAATGACTAATGAGGAACAATAAGAAAGATAAAGTGGATGGTCTCTTACAATAGGGGTGTTGTAAGACGAAATGTCCCAAAAAATTTGAAATTACCACCATTTTACCATTACCAATATCACACATATAAACTCAGAAGACACATATAGTTTCACTGGCCATTTTGGACCGGAAATAAAATGGCGATATTTGTGTTGTAGACATTGCGACTCCTGGTTCTCATCACCACCACTGTAAAGAAATCGGAGTCCATAAGTTTCTCTACAATGAACCATTACACATCTGAACACTCTAAAAGACTTGTTTATCTCAAACACTGAATTATGCGCAACTTGTTTTTAAACATGTGGAATTCCTCTTTAAATTATCTTAAACAAAGTCAGTCTCTGAATGTGATGATACGTCAGGAAAAAGGTTGATGTGATGACTGACTCACATTGCTCATCAGGCCTTTGAAGAGGACCAGCTCGGCCTTCAGCTGCTTCACTCTGAGAGCCAGTTCATCCTGACACACCTCGCTCTCCTGAAGGTCCTACACACACACACATACACACACACACACACATTCTAATCTTACACAGTGTTTTACAAGCTAGATAAATACTTCTGAACAAGTTTCACAGGTGGCTTTGAATATGTTGATGAAAGACAGATGGGTGGATGGAAACTAAGATCTGCATGAGCAGATCAAATACGGTACTACTTGAGAATGTGCTGTTACATTCTACCTCTTCAAGCTCTGCAATCTTCTCCTGCAAGTCCACTCTCACTGTATACTCCTCCTCCCACCTGTTAGGAATGAAGCCACACATTGTAAATATACTAATGAATCAACAAACAATCAGTAGATATTGTATATATGGACCATTCCACTGAATGAGTTCAAACAGCAAAATAATCAGACCATAGATATTTACAAGGATTACTTTATGACCTATTTTTTTTTTTTACTTAATTTTTTATTTTTGTTTTGTGCAAATTCACATTCATATCCATAAAAAAAAAACAAAAGAGGCGGCAGGAAAAAAAAAATAAATTCAAAGGTACATGAGATCTTATTTAAAGTCGGAGGTTTACAGGTACAACATTTCAAACATAAAACTCAACAACAATCTCTGTTTACATACAAAAGGCAGAATGATCAGAGTCAAAGGTCTCAGTTCACAATGCTTTCTCGGGTATAGCAATCCCATTTCATCCAGTTTTTTTTCCCTCTCTCCTTTTGAAGACGTACGGAGTAAGTCAACATTTCCATGGAGCGAATATAAGTAACAATTTCAACAAAAAGGTCCACAGTTGGGGGGTTTCTTCTGAGCCAGCACTTAGTAATAGCTTTCTTACAAGCGACCAGAAATATATTCAATAGGTAGCAATCACTCTTACTTAACCCTTCAGGGGTTACACCAAGATACATAGAGTTAAATGAGACCTCCACATTAAAACCCAAGATGTCGGAAATAATTCTCCCCATATTAATCCAAAAGGATTGCATTTTTGGGCAACACCATACTACATGCGCATGGCCTACGTCCATTGCCCCACACTCCCTCCAGCAGGGGAAGTGGGCCCCAGTTAACCTTAACTTGAGTTTGGGCGTTATAAAAAATCTGATCAGACTCTTCCAGCAAAAATCCCTCCAAATCAATGAATTAGTGGAAGTACAATGGTTTTCCCATATACTTTATGACCTATTGAAACCTAAGGTATTAATTGAGATAGTAATAAGCTACATATGACAAAATCATCATTTATAGTTTTTTAATTATATTTTTGATTTAAATTTATCATAGGTTTAATTTTTAAATAAAAAAAAAAACTTTCTTTAAAAAATGCTGTTCCACGTTTTCATGTCATTACCGAAACACAAAAGAGTTTTATTTTAGCCACGCCCCTGCATTTTCGAGCAGGAAGTGAGACTGCATTCCTGTCCCTCATGACCACCTGATGAGCAGTTAGATCCCATTGTTTTGAAGTAAATGTTTCCCAAAGTCTGAAAATCTGTGTGTAACATTACGAATTATCACTACTACAACACATTTTCTGCAATTAAGTAAACATTTTTGTGTTTCAATGAAAAATATTATGTTATGTGCATACAACTGTTCTCAGGTACTGGTTAGTGTCACTGAGTTCTGTTCAAAATTAGCTAAAACAGTCACAACAGAAACATTTGTTAACATTCGGAAGCATTATTACTGCTTTGGTAGTGACAAAATGGAATGTTCAGTCATTTGTCTTAACATAATAAACATAATTGAGGTATAGGGTCACTTAAAGCAAAAGGATTTTAGTTTAAAGTCCAAATCAGATAAAAGTCCAAAATGTGTTTTCATCTCTGACCTTGAACCAATACAGTAGAATGATTCATGTCTATTTCACAGATTTTGTATAATCAACAAACTAAAATCTGATCTGAAAGCTGACTTATAAATGTGGAGTGGCTAAGTTGGGGGAGGGTCCAATGGAATAGATCACCATACCCAATCGCAAGCATCAACTAGAGTGTGTATAAAGCCCCCCAGCATTGGGCTGCAGTGCAGTGGAACTGTGTTCTCTGGAGTGATGGGAGTTCCATTCAATACTTCAGGAAGAGTTTAAGTGAGGTTTGTGATCCAGAACTAATTCATTAGGGCCAGAACGATGTGAACGTTTTGTGGTCGACACCGATTTTTAGGGTTAATGATAACCAATAATATTGGTGGATAAGTTTTTATGTTGATATTTTACATTTTAATTTTGACTCAAGCAGTTTTAGTCAACTATGGCTGATATGATTGTTTAGACTGAGGTCATTATCAGCTGTCAACTGTGAATTATGAGATATGACCGTTCTTACTGGTCACATTTCTTTACAATTAAACAGCAGAGACTCACAATAATGGGAATCCCACTGATTTTTAAACTGGACTGCATTAGAATGATTTGATGTGAACTGATACACTCTACAGAAACTTAATGTCTCTGATTTCTTTACAGTGATGGTGACAGGAACCAGGGATCATAATGTCTATAACAAAAATATACAGCCATTGTATTCACCGTCCAAAGTGACCAGTGAACCTACACGTGTCTTCTAAGTGTTTATAAGTAATGCTGATGATGGTAAAACAGTGGTAAATCTGAAAAAAAAAAACGTTTTGTTTGGGGAAAACTGAACTCCACCATAAATGCATTTTTAAAATATGTTTTAGGCCAAAACCTTAATTCAAAACTATAATAAAGCAATGTCTCAGATGTAGGGCAGCATATTTGTAGATATTTCATGCAATAACTTTGTTAGGGAGCTTTTGGAGGCATTAAACTCTTCATATGCCTGGTTCCTTTCTCTACCACTGTGAACAATCCCAGCTCAGACCAAGTTTCTCTAGAATGGAGCATTCTGTGTTCCAATGTGTTATTACCATGCTAAAGATTAGGTGTGGACAAATTTGACATGTTTCTGTTATTTTAACCATGATAAAGTTTTCTTCTTGCTTTCAATTTCACCAGTTTATATCCATGTTTCTGTCATATAGATAAACAGGGGACATATATTGGGTTCCTGAATGTAAGGTTTTGCCTTCAGGAGTTGGTAACTTGAATCCTGGCAATTCAATGAACAAGACGACGCTATTTATTCATGCATAAATTAGTGTATAATATATTAGTGTATATATTAATATAGTGTATTAGTGTGTATTAGTGTGTATTAGTGTGCTAGTGTGTTTTCAACAAAACCACAGGTCATGGATCTTTGTACAAACCTTTGTAATACATCACTTAATATGTTTCATTCATCTGGCCATTAGTTCTTGCCTATTAAAAAACATAATGTAGGCAACATTGTTTTACTTATGCATTTAGCAGTACTTCCTAAAACCAAATAACAAAGACACATTAATATTTCTTGAATTCTGCACTGAAACTTTAGACCTGACCATGACAGACTGCACTGAGCTCTGTACACTGATATTAGAGAATCTCAGCTGTATGTAATTTAACCCCTAAGTCTGGTCTGATAGTACTCTTCTGCATCTTCTGAATTCATCCGACACTGTATCCTGTAGCTCCTCAGCAGGAAGTGTTATGTAACGTCTAAGCACAATGCACAAGACTAGAAGACTAGACTTTAAGTGTCCCGTCTGAGCTCAAGCACACTGCAGGTGAGACTGCAGCACAATTTATGACTGTAGGAGGAACAAGCTGGTCATATTAGAGTAGAAATAGCTCCATTCACTTTCTGAAGTCTGAAGTCATGAATAAGCATACATAACATCCTCTACAGAAAACATAATTTAATCATTTTATTATTGGGAAAAAACATATAATAATAATTATAATATTTTTAAAAATATTTTTTGCCAATAGAAGATAACAACTACAACTATATATATATATATATATATATATATATATATATATATATATATATATATATATACTCCTATTGCTTCAGACAGGAGTCTTAAAATTGTTAGGAAAATGAAAAAAGCACAGGAAACGCACAATTATGGCAAAGAGCATCATAAGCAAGTAAATAAATTTCACTCTCCACAGAACCATATGACTCATAATTCATCAAGGTTGCAGAGCCATTTTATAAAATAGCACTCACAAGGAGAGAGAGAAGGAGAAAGAGAGAGAGAGAGAGGACAGAGAGAGAGAGTCGAGCAGTGGACACTAGCAGCATTCACAGTAGTGCTGCATTGCAGATGCTGAGGCACAGGGGGAGGAGGCGGAAGTAAGGTTCAGAGGGGTGTACGTGCGTGTGTTGGGGGGTCCTGCTCTTCTGTACAAAGTGACTTCATTTGAGTCATTGCAATTCAGTTTAGCAGATTTTAGAGTGCAAATTTGGCTCCTTTTAGTAAAGTCTCTAAAAGCTCAGCAGAAGGACAAACCAAAGTCAATACTTCAAACAGACAAACTTGGTGGTAAATATGTTAAAGGAGACAATGAGTGATTCCAATGAAAACTCCATCTACCACTTACCACACTCAGTAATGTTTCCTTTTGCCTGATTACCTTTTCTTGCATTACTAGGGCCCTACATTTAGCTATAGTGCTTTCATAACGTCTCAAGGAGCTAGTTCTGTAACCTGTGTGAGGTCATTTGCACATATAAACATAAAGTGATGTCACTGGCAAGGACATCATTTCACATTTACACCAGTTTATACTCTTCGTATAAAGACACCAATGGGTCCAAGACTATTATCTCTGAAAGAAAGAACACATTCTGGGTGGTGAACAAACTAATAAACTACACAAAGAAGTTGAGGGCCGATTTTCAGGCCCAGTTTAAGCCTAAACCTAGACTCAAAAGAATTTCCAATGGTAATTTCTCCATCAACACTGAAATTTAGTCCAAGATGAGGCTTAACCCATGTCTGGAACCATGTGCAACACATAGGGTTTGTTTCTTGGACGCAGATTAAGCCCTAATGTAGATGGTCGGTATTCCAGAGAAGGATCAAACCTAGACCTGGACAACATGTTTCTTTCAGTGGAGAATCTCTATTCAGAATTCTCTTCTAAATAGGAACAATTATCTCTAATAATTATAGTAACCTCTTCAGGAAAAGGCTTAATCCCTGTCCGTGAAACCGACCCATGGTATTTCACTCATTGACTCATTATAATTTAATCCAAGACAAGGCTAAATCCACGTCAGGGAACTGCCTCATTTAATGCCACAGTAAAGAAGACCTTGACAAGTAAGGTAAAACATTAATGCACCAAGTATATAGTAGCTCCTGCAGGATGTATTAATCTTAAATAGACACAGGCTTAGTTTAAAGTATTTAGACCAGGGGTCACCAACTCTAACTCTGGAAATGTACCTTCCTAGAACTTGCACCTTCAACCTCTCTCTTACAAGATCAAGTGTGGAGGATTAAGGTTAGCTAAAGTGGTAGATCCTGGTAGATCCCCGGAGCAAAGGTGGTGATCCTAGACTTTGATCATGACTCACAAAGAGAGCTTAAGGTGCAGAAATACTGACCTTCGTTTATACTCGTCTCGTTCACGTTTCACCTTGGCCAGCACGTTGTACAGGGCCCGGATCTCTGGGGTGATGGTGTCGATTTGGACCCCCACCCCATCTGGGTGCGTCCACGATATGCCAGGACCCGGCACCCTCGGGTCCCGGCCAATACTGAGCCTCCGAGCAGGGTTATACGACCAAATAGTCCCAGGAAGGAACCTGGGTGGGAGGTTAGCGGATGTCCCAGTCCCAGTGCTGACATACTTCTCATTGATATTGGAGATGCTCTTAGAAGCAGGATCACCAGGAGACAAAGGACTGATGGGAAAACTGGGGGCCAGATTGGAGTTCGAGTCCGTAACACTTATTGGGGTGAACTGTCCGAGATTTGTCTTGTTGCTGGACCCAAGCGGGAAGACTGTGTTGTCCAGAGTTGGCGACGAGGCCAGACCTCCAGGCAAATAGTTGGCGTACGGTACCGGTATCAAGTCAGGCCTCACCGGCACTGTCCCGAAGGACCCGGTTTGGACCCCCACGTCCCGCATGGGTGCCTTTTCTGCTCGTTCCTCCAGGGCACTCTGCAGCTGCTTCTCCAACGCCTTGTTGCGCCGCTCCAGCTCGTGCACCTTGGCCAGGAAGCAGCGGAAGCGCAGGTTCAGTGCCTTGAGCACACTGATGTTGGAGCCCAGGTCATTGCGCAGCGCCGCGGCGGCCGGAGGTGGAGGTGGACACCGGTGTGGGTACAGAGGAGCACCGTGAGGCCAGTTGCCCAGGTCCAACCCAGGCAGTCCCAGGCCGTCCTGACCCGGGACAACCATATGGTCGCCCAAGATGAAGGGCGGCTCAGGTGAGCCGTAAAGGGACTCTGCGAAAAGGCCTGTGTCCGGCAGGCCAGTCACCTGCTGCTGCTGCTGGATCGGGTACGCGCTCTCGCCCAACACGGGATTCATTCTAGAGGGAGAAAAGCTGAAGTGCTCGAAATCCGGCATTTACCTTTGAATTAAGCAGAGCCTCAGCGCCGGTAATGCTTGGAGCAGGTTTACGCTCCTTAAGGTGAGGCAACGCTCGCCGGCCTCAATCAGGCTGAATCAGATTAGTAATATGGAAAAATGCACAATGATTAAGCGCGACTCGAATGAAAAACAGCCTCTTTTCCAATATCCTGCACGTATTACGTGTCTTTCCTAAGCTGATGTATTAATATAGCCCACCTGAAGGGAGGTAGATTCTTTCCAAGCGACAGGAGCATCCGTAGAGGACTGAGCGAGCTCTCATCCACAGGATAAACACGAGCGCCAACTGCGGCGCTTTTCTTACCGTAATTACTAAAGTGTACGCGCCTAGAGATTCATACTTTCGGCGTGTGTACGAAAAAGAGACTTTAATCGACGACTGTGATGCAGTTACTGTCCTCGCTGTGTTTTAGAGCTCGAATAATTCACGGTAAGTGCTGTAATGTTGTGGTTCTCCTTCTGAACAATGCTAGTCTTTTAGCTCTGCGCGCTCTACTTGCTGCTTTACGACAGCAGCGGCAAAATCCTGACGTCAGCGACCACAATAAACAACGCAGCGCCAGGCAGCGCGAGCTGTGAGCGTGGAGACGTCATCATCATGCACGTGCCGGCTTGGCCAGGGAATTCGAGGGGTGGAGGTGGGGCAGGTATTTGGGGGCGTGGTGTGTGTAGCTGGGGCTGTCCAAGTACCTGCTGTTTGTGCTTTCAGTAGATATTGACTCATCATCGATTCAGTCATACATTCTCAGAAACAGTAATGAACTGTCCAGTACATTACATGAGCCCTTTTCATGCAGAGACCCCATCTTCGTCATACTGTGTTAGCTGAATGTGGTCAAGTGGTTAAGCTCTATTGAGGACTATTGATGGATGCAGAAAGGGGAATTCCACCGATTTTTCAGTGGTTGAGATGTACTCAAAGTCATTCAGAGTGGTTTAATGTGAAATGGTTCACTGTAGAGAACCTTGAAGACTCAGATTTCTTTACAGTGGTGGTGTTAGGAACCAGGAGTCACCAGGGTTGGGCAGAATACTTTGAAAAAGTAGTGATGGCTGAACACTGAATACACTGTGCTAAATGCATTCAGTAATATTTTACATTTCAATACATAAAAAGTAATGTGCTCAGAATACATTTGCAATAATATTGATGGAGAAATACACGTAGAAAACCTCTGCTGTTGTAATGTTTACTCAATTCATGTTGTTCCTTGGTGTTACTGGTTGGCAGTATTCTTTATGTAGTTCTTCTGTTAATATGTTTCATGAAAAAAAAATCAATTATTTGAATGAAGTTACAAAATTCTCAATGTCATTTTGGTTCTACTTGCATGCTTTAGTCCACTGCTGTCTCATGAACTAAGCAAACTATTTGCCATTTCCCAGTAATAATACAAACTGTGCACAACAGATGAGCTACACTCTCTAATTGTACACCAGCAAGGGGGAGTTATAAAGAAGGGCTTTCTACTCAAGTGGACACTGAGTGGACATATAGGTGCCCCTTACAACTTGAGCAGCTGCCTATCTGAAAGCCTCTGCATGGCTCTGGATTTATTATTCATTACTGAATAATCATTACAGTGTAAGAGTTTAGACAATGTGGTGCCTTATGAAATGGAGATCGCTTTAGCAGTCTCAGAGAACATCGGAAATGTCGTTAGAAGTACTGAAACGGAGCAGCAACAGCCTTCAAATGCACTAGATTCCCCACTTCAGCAACTGACAATGAATTAACTCATAATGTAGGGCTTTGAAAGAGCTTAGCTATGCCAAGGTTAATGGCAGAAGAAACAAACTCCGAAAGGCCATGAACAGAGGACTTTTACTGGGATACATAACATGCAAACAAGACATCACATTTCAAACTATACAGTGTCATAATAAATAAGTTGCCAGCGATGACTTGTTCTGCAGGATTGATCTTTCTGAGGTGATCGGGAAAAGAGGTGGATTGAGGTATATTAGTTTTACTCTCTGGAGGACATGTAGACCATGAGGTCCACCACACGGCTGCTGTAGCCATATTCATTGTCATACCTGTAGAGAAGAGAGAGAAGCTCCATTACAAAGATGGTAGATGTAATCAGAGGTATAAAACAGTGCTTCCCCACCCTGGACCCTCTGCTTTGCATATTTTAGTGTTTTTTTCTGCTCCCAACAGCTCCCAACACACCTGATCACAACTAATCAGCTCATTAACAATGCTTTGCTGAGTTGAAGCGGAAGGGAAAACACTAACATGTGCAGAGCTGGGGAGATCAAACTTCAGGGCACTCATCATCATCATCATCATCATGCCAATCTTTTTTGAAGACTCTCTGGACTCACTGCTCTTTTCTACAAATGTATCAAGTACATTTTTTAAAAGTACATATAACCAACTGTTTATACTAACTTCTAGCCAGAAGCAGCCCTGGCTGAGGGTACTAGAGCCGCTGGATTACAACAGTTACATATGTGAGGCCTGTTATCACATGGTATGTAGCATTAAAGCGCCCATATTTGATTTGGTTTGAAGTAATTTTGTTAAAGTTTAAAAACATACTATTCACTCTCCAAATATGAAAATTAGGCTGCAAAAAGGCCATTTTGAATTCACTGTTTCTGTGACGTCACTAGAACCACTCATGCACCTATTTGATATAGCAGTTTAGCTCCACCCATTCTTACTGAAGTTATAAGGAGTGTTTCAGCCCAGACTGCTTTTTGAATGAGGTGCAATACAGGGCTGCCAATCAGAATAGAGATGATTTACATATAACAATCTTAAAGGCACAGTAACAAACACAGCCTGTTTAATTCTATGGGATACAGAGAGGATGGAAAATGCAGATGTGAAAGTAAATTATGACCAACTTTTTGGTACATAAAACCACATAAATATTATAAATGGACCTCAAAGGAAAAAAAAATAAATACAAGAAAAATGTAGGGTATTGGCCTGTAAGCACCTAATTAATCTTTCTGAAGCGCTTCCATACAGCGTAACAATAGTTCAGACACATGCACTACTGATGAAAAGTTCATCAAGTAATCACCCTCATTGTCTTCAATAATATAAAACCACTCTGGGTGCAGATAATTGTAGGAAATGATTCTAATACCCTAGTCCTGTGCAACTCCACAGATTCTAATAATTAGTAGGAAGTTGTAAACGTTTTTAGATATGTCTAAAATATGCTTGTGATTATTCCAAAATGATAGCAAATATCTTCATACGTCAAAAGGCAAACATCAAAAATATTGCAAATAGACTATTACATAATGTTACGTATACTTGATACTTGAAATATTGCTTAAAACAACTAACAAAACCTTTTTATGTCAGCTTTTGTGTCTTCATTGCGTCCAGGCCAAGATGCCAAGGTACATTACAGGACTATTTTTCACTATAAGCAGTATAAGCTGTCTCAAGGAGTGCAGAGTATGTACTTTTTAAAATGTGTTCAATATAATTTGTAGAAAATGCACTGTAAGTCTAAATATTTTTGTCTTTTTTCCTAATCAAATGAATTATCTATTCTTTTTATATTCTTGCTTACAAAAGAACATGATTGGAGTGAGTATGATGTCACATAGGGCATGCAAACGTTCAGGAATTGTACAGGTACAATGATTATATTGTTCTGTCTAACACAACAAACATGATTAACTTGACAAATGATACCAAAAAGTGAGAAATTGAACAGTGTTGTAAATATGAACTCATATAAAATCACTGTTTCCATCCACTTTCTGCACAAATTACAAGTGTGTTACTGTAATTTTTGCTGCCAGCAGCTTGTTTCCATCAAACTCGATAAAAGCGATAAAAATCCTTTATGTATTGATGTCATTTCCTGCAAAAACCTGTTGTTGTACATGTTTTGGTGGTGGTGGTTGACATGTATCTATTTCTAATATCATGTATAGCTTCCCTGATGTCCCAATAAACTACTGGAAGAGGTTTGTTTATTACTACTATTTTTTTTTCTTAAATTTTATCTGTTACATTTCCTCAGTAAGCTAAGCTAAACCTCTCCACCATGCTGTTTGAGTTTGTTGGAAGAAGCATATGAGGGAAATCTGCCAAATGACACTAAATTTATGTGAAATTAAATGTACGGAAGCCACAGATGTGCATGTTGCTTTCTGATATTGTGGTATAAATGCATTATTGTGGCAAAACAAATGTTGTTTTCTCAAAATCTCAAGTTATTTTTTTATTTGCATAAATATCTCATGAGAACAACATTCGTTACGTTGTGGTGATATAAATTACAAGATCTCTAGACAAATGAAAATAATTTGTTGTCACAGAAAACAGAAAACATGCAAATCCGCGGCCTTTTAGGGCTTCTGTACATTTTGGGTTTCGTTAACAATTTACCTGCTGAAGTTAAATGTAAGAATGTTGTGTTTACATTCGTAACACATTACCATCAATTTCCTTTACCATAGCAAAAAACCCTCTGTATGGAAACTTGACTCACCATGTCACCAGCTTGACAAAGTTGTCGGAGAGTGCAATGCCAGCACTAGCATCGAAGTACGAAGAGTGAGAGTCGCCATTGAAGTCTGTGGACACCAGCTGTGTGAGAGGAAAATACACTAATTAATATCTCGGCACAGATATTAATGTAAGTTAGTAAATAGTCCTGGATTCATATCATGTATATTACTGCATAAAACTGAGTTGTTTACCTGTTCCTCAGTGTATCCCAGAATTCCCCTGAGGGGGCCTTCTGCCGCAGCCTTCACCACCTTCTTTATGCTTTCATATTTAGCCTGTAGTATGAGAGAAACAGGCCAGCAATTAAGTAAACCAGACTACTAGTACAAACGTACAAGATTACAACACTGTACCAAATTACAGCCAAATTTGAAAAGCAAAACCTTCTAATAATGTACTGCGCAAAACACATTATTAAAGGGTGACTCCACCGATTTCTCACATTTTCAGCATAATTCACTCACTGAGATGGAAACAAAGTCATTCAAAGTGGTTTGATGTGAAATGGCTTACTGTAGAAAAACTTATAAATGTAGACTTCTTTAAAGTGGTGATGATAAGCACTGAATTTACGATGCAAAGCTACCAGTGAACCTACACGTCTACTGAGTTTTGATATGTATTATTGACGATGGTGAAATAATGGTGCAACATTTTTAAAATTTTGCTTTATAATACCTTTCATGTACATGTGTGCCATGAATAGAGTATTAAAATACATTTTAGGTTAAAGTCTTATCAAAGATTTTCGTAAAACAATCTCTC